CGTTAACATGACGAAATACAAAAATATCAATGATTCACTGTTGACCACAACTGTCACTATAAATGTTTTGTTATGGCACTCGCATCTTATTGTAAAACAGTATCAATGTAACATCAATGTCAAACATTGATCTAGATTTGTTATCATAACCCAATTCCAACAATTCAACAATTATCATACTGCGTATTTAACTGCTAAAAATTTGGTTGTATTTTCTGTTTTTATTTTAAAATTTTATTTTAATTATATACTCGTAAGTTAAACCAAACAAAAAAATTGTTTTTAAAAAATTTAAATTTAAAAAGTTTCTATAAGAAGCTATGTTCCAGATATGTTCATGCTAATGACTCGAGAATTTCTCACTATGTCTTCACCTAACAATTTTTAATGCATAGACACAAGCCTGACAAATACCAAACCGAGATGTTTTATAAAGTCCGGTTTTAACGACAGTAGCTAAGCCGTATTGTACTTGTTTAAAAAATATCTAATGTCATTAGTAATCTACATAAAAAGGACTGTTTCTTTTTTTATAAATAAATTAAACAAGTTTTAACTGTTAAAGTGATTCATATTTAAACAAATACATTTATAATACATATAAGTGATCTGGATTTAATTGCCGGTTTGTTTTAGCTATATATTTACAATAAATAAATAATGAATATGTAATGTACATCACAGCCAACATAATTATAAAAACAAACAAATAAATCAGTTATTCATGTGTATATTTAATGTTGTACGTAAATATATTGCACTTCCTCTATTCAGTTCATTCACAGCCTTGTTATTTCTGTTGCAAAGCGAAAAATGAGTAATATTTACTGTTTAATCGAATCACGACAATTTAATGCCATCCATTGAAGCAAACATTAGCAGTCTATTCAATCTGGAGTGCGTTATTAGCGTTTTTGAAATGGATGAGGTTGTATTTTTGTAACAATTCAACTTCTGTCATAAATTTCGCGAAACCATTTTCGCATTAAAATTATCTCCTGAATAAATTTCCAAGGCGCCTTTCTCAGCTCCTCCGACATCCATTTCAGCCGAATCCGACTGGCGTACGTGCTATTTATTGTTAAACGAACATTATATGCACTACGCACATGGGACATGAGTTATTTTGGTTCGTTTAGGCCAATCTATACATTCTGGTCAATTACATAAAAGAATTTAAAAATAGCATGTCTATCTCACGAGGAAACTCTCCACGTCAATGTAAACATCAAGACGTCACTTTATTTACCTGAACTCCCGGAACCCCAATTTGGCAATTTGAGTAATTTCTTGAAACTACTGGATCTCTTCAAGCTGCCAGAACGAGAAGTGTAATCCTGTGCCTCCATAAAACTGGATTTTGAAGCACTCCACACACTTTGGACATTTATGTCTCCTCACGTTTTGATTGACGATTAATTCAGTCGTATGCCGGGTTTTCGAAATTCGGATATATTAGATAATTGTTAGGAAAACATCAAACTGGAACTCTTGCCGAAATATTATAAAATGGTCTATTTTTAGCAAAACCCACAGGAAATGCGGAGGTGATACAATCGCTAATTTAACATGTTTAACAGGACTGGTGAAAAGTTTGAAAAATGCGCAATTGGCACATCAAGTGTAAGTGAAAACGGGCAGAGACAACCCTTTAAAGTCCATCCTAGAACAACTTTATAAACAGTATACTATCGGCTCCATAAAATATGCAAATTTGTCATAAAAAGCGACGGTGTTCTTTTGCTACATTCGTATCCAATTACGAGGCTGATTGCATGGAGACTTTACGAGTTTGTGATTTTCAAAGAGTGTGGGTCTAGGCACCATTGTTCAAGGCGATGTTAATTCAATAAAGACAATTTCGATATATCCAATTATACAAATCGATAGATTCCTCCTTTACTATACTAATTAACCATTCGTCCTGTCAATCGGAGAGAGAGGGTTTTCAGGCGAGGATCCGACAGCTGGGTATAGGGAAGACCGCACCGCCGACTCTTGCAATTATCAGTCAGGAAACGTGCCAATTAAGCTTACAGGAAGGGTGCAAGTCATGTCATCAATCGAGACACAGGATTTTCTTGGGTCGCCAATGTCTTTCAAGACATAACAAACTTGAATGCGCGCATTACACCACACTAACCTAACCTAAGCAGGCACTCAAATAACACCGCACTTTCCGTTTTCGTTCCCGTCCGCGTGTAATCTGTGACTGGCAACGAGACCGCGCAGGGCTCGGGTGGACTATGCGCCGGTATCCAATTTTCGTGAATTGCATATAGCCCCAATATAGGGACCGTTGACAAAGGGCACTGATGAAAAACTAACTACCTGAGTACCTCGACACCACTCGGGTAATTATTCTCGCACGGTGAACCGAAAATTGCCACCAACTCAATTTAACACTGTTGATTATCTTGACGTTATCAGTAATTACATTCTTGCATAAATTCGGAGATAAAGACTTTTGTTTTTAATTCAGATTTTAATCCCCTAGAGTGACTTTCAACATTAAAATATTACGAAAAAAATCGGGTATGAAATCACAAACTGACATTAATTAATTTTCCAAGTTCGAAAAGTTAAAACTATTATTACTGCTGATGAAATGAAGCAGTGGAGATAATTTGGACTTTGGAGCAACAGTGACATCAAGCAAATTAATTATTAAAATATGATTTGTTTATTTTTATGTTTGCAACTAACCGATATAGTAACCATTTTGACAATAAACTGGTTTTGCCAGAATTATTATTAAAATGTTACTAATTCCTATTTTTAACGCTGTTTATTTTATCTCTTACGAAATTGAATTACTTAGTTGTTTTTATTACGATAATTGACAAACAATATGTGTAAAACATTCGATAAGTGTTTTTCGAATAATAAATACTGCTCAACAAAACACGTATAGTGCGACTTTTGAAAAATTTGAACCAACAAACAAGCCAAATTTACCTTTACTATTGGCCAATTTAAACGCAGGTCCATGATTTGCAACAAGGTATTCAAAAGCCCAGACAGTTTTTAATGGCGAAGAGATAGCGAAGAGAGACAGGGGCAGACCAGTTATTTCTAAGACAAACGAGTTCAAGCTAAGGACGGTAACCGGCAGGTATAGATCGGTTGAAAGTACAGCTGTCGCTTTAAAATTTTGTGGTGTTTTGAAGTTTGCACATTGTATAGTAAGTGTAAAAGATTTCTCCGACAAGTGACAAAACGCTGTAAAAATTTGAATGACAGATGAAAAAGGGAAGAGCGAAAACATAATTTATTTGAGCTATAAAACACGTTCAACCTCGTGAGAACTTTTACAATGGAATTACGTATGAATAATAAAAAATCAAAGAACAAGAATGTAGTTAAGTCGACAGAAGTCAGTTTGTACAATGATAAAAAGAGAAAGCATCGAGTGATAACAGTTTTCACAATTCCAAAAATTAAGTCACACTTTATTTTATTCAGCCTTGACATCATTATAAACAATAAGAAGGAATTTAATGATGGTAAAATTTTCTTTTATAAAATTATTTGATTAGAAGTGTGGGTATTTAAAATATGAAGAACGAAAAAAAAATTACTCGCCCTTGTCAGAATTTAAAAATAGAGCGAACTTAGGAAGCAGGTGGCCATGCAGTCTAGTTGATAAAGTTATTGGTAGCACATTTGCAATGTCATAACTGTTATAAATTAATAAAGTGACGACAATGATAATTTGTTACTTATTCAAACAATTTGTTTAATTGAGTCAATTCGTAAAGATGACATTTTTAATATTTTAATTAATTTTAAGCCAACCTTTTTTAAATCACTGGTTCGTACAGTTGGTTGCAATAAAAACGGAAAATAGAATTTTCTTTAGATTGAAACAGGTCAAGTCAATTTGTCATCTGTCGCATTCAAATAATTTTTTTTGCAATGCCGCACTTAAATGCCGAGAGCATCATATGCAAATCAAGATAATCAATTAGTTAAGTACTTACGTGAAAACCCAATGAGTAGTGAGTACTACAGATTAACTGACAGTTCTAACTTTTAAAATTAAGCCATGGATAAATATAAAAATCTGATATTTTTATGCTTTAACATGTTCCGATTTTTTTGCAACCAAGTGTACAATATCCGGTTACTAATAAAAAATTATAAAAATGTGAATAATTAAAAATATTACCCTTATGTAATTAAAAATTATATGTTACAATCTTAAAAAAGTTACTGTAATTCATGTTTAAATAAAATATTTGCAACTAGGTAGTAAACTTAATTACTACATAAATATTAAATTAATCAAAACCCATGAATATGCGGGGTTTTATTGGCCGTAATACTGCAATTTTATAATTAATAAAAGGATCGCGGATTAAGAGAAAATTGCACGACCGAAAACTAAAAGTAATAAATCCATATTACATAAAAATATACAGGGTGTTAAAAAAAGATTGTAAAATATTTAAGGAGGTAATAGGACCAAAATAAACAAAAAAGTCTTAATAAACATGGGTTCGCAAAGTAATGGCTTCGGAGATATCGAAAATAATTGATTTTTCGAAACATTTATTTTTGCAATCTGTTCATACAAAAAATAGAAACTTCTAGAGAAAATTCTAACAATTATAACATTATTCACATTAAATATTTTACAATCTTTTTTTAACACCCTGTATAACGAGGCGACAGTCAATAGAATCTCGGTTATTTATAGTCTGACAAGAGTTTTCGCAAAAGTCTGTGAGTTTTATTTCCTCTAAAACGGTATTTGAATAAATCATAAAAGTCTCTTATGTCATGTTATTACCTTGACACCCTTGACGAAAGATATTGTTACAGGTCATAATTTTAACCCTGTGTAGGTGTTAAATAACACGTTGAACTTCACCGATATTTACATCAAAGTCGCCGTTTAGTTTCTCTTAAAAATGGTGTTTTTCATAATAACGTTTATGTAAAATCAGTGGGCAAAAAATCCAAAATAACGAATGTCAGTAAAAAAAAAAACTTACCGCTTTCGTTGTGCTCGAAACTGTTGTCTTTTTCTTCTGCTTGCCTCCTTTCCTTTTCCACTGCAATTCAAATCGCTATAAAAACAGTTTTGCAATTTATTAACAGACTTACTTAATATAAAATGAGAGCTATGTTTTCGCCTATTATCATTATTCTCGTGTCTTATCCGTATAAATTTTCCTATCCCCCGATCCTTTTTATTGATTGGACCTGGACAACTGTCATCATACAACTTCACACAGGGACGATGAAGATTGATCAGACATACTAAAAGAAATGTATTATTGTTTTGAATTTTTTATAGTGATAATTGTCTCCTTACCAGAACACTGATAGCCTTGAGGTCCTATTCCATAAATAATTTGATGGCAATTATTACAAACTATCACAGTATAATATTGTTGTGCGACATATTGGTGTCCTTGAACGTTTAACTGGAAAATCAATATAAATTATTGACAAACGATCAAAATGAACCTAACACACCTTTCTCGAATATCTCCCAATAAATTTTGTGCGAAACGACTTTTCTTTATTTACAAAAGTTGGACAACGATCGATGGTATGCGAAGCCGGCCGAATACCAAAGATACGAGTTAAAACGGTCGTTAGAGCAGCTGCTGTGTAATACCGTCGTGGGTCGTAATTTTCTTTTTCAATTTCTTCTCTGTAAACAATACACAAACTCACTTCAAACAAAATATTGGCAAGTTCAATAACTCACAAAAAGGGTTCCAATTTTTCTAAAAATAAACTTTCGTACAATTTCACTTCTTTGGTCTTATCATTATAAATCTCGGAAAGTACTTGATCAGTCGGACCGAAGATTGTACCTAAACCAGCAGTACGTTTTTGTTGAAAATCGACTAATTGCTTCGTTAATTCTTCTTTGGCCCGAGATCGCGCCTTCCAAAAAATTTTTCTAAGAATTTCCTCTTTATCAAATTCACGAGTAAGAACGTCATCGATTTCACGAGCGATGTTTTCGTCTACATTTCCCAACCGCAAAGGCTACAATAAACAAATCATTATTTAAAATTAAATCTTCATATGGTGTTTACCGCTCCAGGAACGAGAAAACACGAATGGATTTCGAATGCCCACTTCCTCATTTCTTTAGCGTTTCCCTCTTTATACAAATCAGTGAGCAAATAAAACAGAAGACTATTTGGATCCGAATTTGATAAAATATAATTCATGAACACAGCCAAATGTGGTAGACGCTCCCAGAGTCTAGAGAGCGATTTGAAGTAGCCGTGATCTTCTAATTGGCTCTAAAATAACAACTTTTGTTTCACGACATAATCAAATTTGTCCCAACTCACAGATTCTTGATCTGAGATTTCATCATCTTCCATACTTATGATAGGCTGCTGCGTAGTCTGAGGCGTTGCAGCATGAATCGGGGAACTATTCGCAATAATACGATTGGGACCTCGAAAAGGTGAAACATCCGGCGAAGAACAATCACCAGTTGTCTAAAAATCATTGTTAAAAAAATTTACACTAATTCATTCTTCACCCAACTTCTTCAAAAGTATTTTCCCCGCTTTCACCACTACCATACTGTCTTCTTCTCGAAGCCGTGGGACTGGGATATGGTGGTGGAGGTGTTCCAGGTGGAGTGTCAGCAGGATCCCACCCTTCTTGCCTAAGATCGTTCATACTTTCCGAAGCTATCAGTTTTCGGGATGCTTCAGCACTCGACATTGCTGATAGAGATTCAGGACTAGATTTAGTGCGATGATGCGTTGGATTTGGCAACTGAAATGTAATGTCACAAGCGTAAAAACAAACTTAAGCGTAAATTGTAAAGAAAATAATTCGAAATGTTGCTGCCTTTATCGACAAAGGGGCAATTTAGCTATCTTGAATATCGAAAAGTAAATAAACAGCCCAATCAAGTTACTGCAAGGGTCTAGCTTGTGACAGAGACAACTTGTTTTAGCATCTGTTTTAGCCCGTTAAATCGTTTCAAACCATTCACGTTTATATGTATAATAATTTCTAGGAATAAGAAAAAAAAATAAATATTTTTTTATGATCATTGAAATTAACGTAGATTTCTCTTGAAAAATAATTATTAAGAATAATTTATGAAATTTATAAAACGTCAATTAATAAGTATTTTAAACGTCTTTTTTTACATATGAAGATACAAAAAAAATATTTCATTTAAAAAGAAGGCGCCGGTGTAAATTTATTTCAAATAGTTTTATTCAAAAGTATTATTTAGAAAACGTAATCATCAAAAGAGACGCTAGGAGATCTTGCCCATTAGACCCTTTAAAAATGTGTTTAAATGGATGAAGATTATCAAAGTCATAAATGTATTAGTAAAAACGTGAATAAATCAATGGCAGTGCTAAGAGAAGTAAAGGTCGTTCTACAAAAACAAATATGTAAAATATGTACACACAAACCAAAGTTTAGAACAGTTGTTGGTTAGAAAACATTGCGATAAGCGTTTAAAAGCAAACGGAACTGGAATTAGGTGTTGAATACAATTGATTAAAAAAGCATGTTACTTACATAATCATTAACTAACGTCGCACAGGTTGCCACTAAGGGATACGACATTTGCTTATTTATGGAGTTAACAGCGTCCGATTCGTTTGTATTGTTTGTGGAAAGGGGAGCTCTAGGAGGTAAGGGAGGAGGTTGATCTGAATAGAAAGGGTTATCAACGAGATGTGTCTCTTCCGAATGTGAGTGGAACTTGCTTCTAGGCGGACGACGGGAGGCAATGTCTTCGACCTGTCGCATATTGGCGTTTATTTCGTTGTTAAGAAATAAAGCGTTAGTGTCTGTGACAATTTTGCCATTCACATATGGAGGATGTCGATTATTTAAAATGTCCACCTGGGACGGTCGTTGATTTCTCTTCGGTAACGGTGGCGGAGATTGGAGCTCCGAATTGCCGTTGGGAGAAACGACAGTCGACGCTCTACTCTTGCGAGGTAAGGAAGTTGACAAGGGATTTAGGGGAGAGTGTAAAGGTGGAGATTGCTGTAAGAAGAAACAGTAAAGCATTGTTAGTCAAGTGTCCGAGGCAGGTTATGACAACTACTCGTGTTTCCAATGCTATGCAAGATTTTTAGATTACCAGTTGTCACAGAAACATGAGTAACTTGTCCATTATGAAAATTAGACAATCACCAGTGCGACTAGTAGCTCCTCGTCTCTCGCAATTAAAAGTACAGACGACATCAAGAGACACTATTAAATTTTTAACTTGGAGAGCCGACGATGCCCACCGATAAGATAAGCCAACCACAAAACGCCAAGAAATATGTATGTACAGACTATACAATATAAACTATTCACGAACACGACATACACACCTCGTTTTGGCTGCGAAGAAGCATAGCTTGAAGTGTTTGCAAATTCTTTTCTGTCTTCGACAGTTCCGAATACTTTTTCTCATCTGGAGATGAAGCTATTTGACTTCTAAGCACATCAATATATCGCTGTTCTTTTTCTATCATCAGTCTATAATGTTGCTCTTTTTCCAATAGGAGCTGATGTTGTTTCTCATGCTGCAATTTTTTATTACAACTATGACCAGAAAAAATAACAAACGCTTACATCAACTGGCTGAGGTCCTGTAATTCTGGACGGAGTCGTCAGAGGTCGGTTATGTACACTGGGAGAACTCATGCCTTTTTGTGAAACAGTTCTTTGTTGAACTGTTAACACCACTTGAGAAGAAGCTAACCACAAAACCATTAAATTACTAACAATATTTTGAATAAAATTAAATTACAATAAACCACAACGTAAGCAAATTCATGCATTAATCATAATGAATAAATATCTCGCTAATTTAGTGACGTTTTCCACATTAAAAATTGTGCACACACCGCTCGAAAAAATCCCAATTATTTTCGTATAAAATCAAGTTTATTTAACTCAAGTATACTTTGCCCAATGTATACAAACAACTAGGGCGGAAATTAATTAAATTGAAGAAAACCAAATGTTCCGTTTTTAGAAGCCCACCTGTTGGCCAACCAAACCGCACCTTGATTCTAGATATAAAACAAACTTTAAACTTGCATATGATCGGCTGCTGTGCGCAGAAATGGTGGGTTAAAATACCACAAAATTAGAAATGATATCATGAAGCTACCCGTATTTCCACTATTTAACACATTAGTGATTTTAACATATTCATAATTTATTGCAGATTCGTTTATCGCGCATCTTTGAAATTATTTCACAAGCGTACAAATTGCTTCTAGAAAAATTCTTACAACTAAAAAATATTTCTCTAGGTAGGCAAGTTATTTATTATAAAAAAAACGACTTGTAGCCGTCATTACCGAATTTTACCGAAGATTGGTTTAAATATATCTTTTTCCTGAACACCTTTCTCAACGAATTAGTTTCAAATAAAATCAATTACATAAATAAAGCTGCTACACACACACACAGAAACACACAGTGGCTTTATACAGTCACTCCTTAAAACTGATTGCTACGAATTTGGGCTACGCAGGTATGGATTGCTTCTATTGGAAAAGTAATTGTTGGAAGTCAACATCTGTCATCTGGACATACAATAGGATTCGTTTAATTTCGACCGAGTTCGTTTATTTGCATAAACGTCGTTCACCAAATAAAATACTTCCCTTACAAAGTACGATAAAAAAAATAGTGGAAATACGATAAAAAAATCAACTAATACAAATATTTTGCACGATAAAAAATACTCACATCTTATTAAATCGACGACATCCGTGTGTTTTGACGATATCACATTAACATCGTTGACCTGATAAGAAAAACAAATAATTTTAAGACCTATTTAAAAGGTTTTTTACCTTAATAATTTTATCACCAGCGTGCAATCCTGCTTTTTCAGCAGCTCCTCCTGCAATAATTAAAAAACAATTTTTAATAACATTACTGTATGTAATGGTAGAAACAAAAATTAGTTTTGTTATGAATGAACAATTACCCTCTTTAACACTTTGTACGTATACTGGGTTATCACCCGAAACCTTCATGCCATATCCTCGTTCATCGCGATTAACAACTACCTGGACAACAACAACAGATTGATTATGAGTATCCATAAGAGAAGAGGGTCTACCCGCAGGAGACATGGTAGGTATTGGAGATGTCCTCCGGGTTGATCCATTTGCTGATTGAAGTCTGCAATAAATGCAGCCATTTTTGTCAATCCATTTTAATTCAAAGGTATAAAAATAAATTGTTAATTTTTTTTTGGTATACAAAACTAAGGTACTCAAAGTCAAGTCCCTGATTAATTCAAATAAATTTAAGCTTGTCACCTGTTAAAACAAAAATAGGTCATGTGTGTCAGTTACCTTTTCGCAACAAGTCTTTATAAATTAATAGTCCATTTTAATGAGTAAACAAATCCGTATGATGAAACCATTAAGATTTTTTATAATACGTCAAAAATCACTTAAATTAAAATAACAAATGTGACCTAATTCCAATTTGACAGTATATGAATCAATCTAAGAATCAGTTCTCGTCGGTCAAGGCCTTCAAGTATATTTTTTGCGCGAATGTATCAAATATTTCACCGAAGAAATGTTAAAACTTAGAAATACACAAATTCAATATTTCACGTTACTATGTCTAAAATCAAGGTGAAAAATAAAAACCTCGACACATTACACTGTCAAAGGTTTAAAACGATTTTGTTTTTACGACATTCTAATTTTACAAACATTCTATTTGTTCCGAGAAATCCTCCGCTAAGGTTGAGCTAACAAAAGCAATTGTCACCTCCAGATCAAAATTCATTTTTTATTAACACATCAATTAATACGCACCGTTTATATACCTCATTTACACTTCAACTATTCCAATGAACATAGTAAGAATTTCAAACACGCTGTTCTTTTTTGGAAAAAAAAAACTTTAAAATGGAGTACAAAGCCGACAACATTAATAGAGTCCTGTATATTATTAGTATAGTGTACTCATTCCGATTTTGACCTAATCTTTCAAATAGAGTTCTGGTTAAATTTCTAAATTTAACAAAACTCGTAATGATAATCACACCCTACGCTAATCGGAATTCTTGCCACAATAATGCACTGAAAATAAAAAACCCAGTTTGTAAATATTAAACAGTTTCATTGACCATTTTTATCGAAATTTTAAATATTTTTTCGAGTCTTTTTCCGTGACTAGAGTAAAAATTTACAAAAGAAACGAAAGTACGAGTACACATGATTGTAGATTTTTTTTTTAAATTTTGTCACAAAATTTTCATAAGCAGGAATGAAGGTAGCTATAAATCTATTTTCACTTCTATTAAATTTATTTTACATAAAATACAAAAAAGATGTTAGACAACGATTAATGGAGAATAATATTTACATTAAGAAAAATAAATGAATGTTATAAAGTAGACACAACTCTAAAACTCTTTCAGTGTATAAAAATAAACTTTGGTGTAAGATTTTTATATCCACTTACTAAAATCCAATTAGCTTAAAAGAATTTACCTGGTAAGTGGTAAGTTCCCATGGCTCATTTTTGAGAGCAGATTTTTCATCAATTAATTTTGAACACTACATTTACAAATTTTTATTTGTTATACGTTTAGTTAGTTGTTTTGGCATACAAATTCTAAATTAATCGTAGCAATTTTGAAAAATGTAGGCAAAAGTCGATCATAATTGAAAAAAAAAACGTTAATACAAATTTTGTTATTTTCGCATAAACGGAAAATGCAATATTATTAATATGATGTCAGTCCAATTTCCGAGATTTGTGTTTATTTTAGTAGTGGTAAGAACTTTATGAATCAAATTCCGTTTCCTGTGATTAAAATCTACTCTTTCTGTTATTACAGTCATATTTCTCCACATTGCATTTAAATTAGTTTTTAAAAAATATCAAATTATGTAAGGGTTGGTATTTTTATGCAACCAAATAATATAAACAAATCGAACAATACAACATGACCTAACCACAATCGTAGTTTCTCAACAACAAAAAAAAACAAAAACACAATATTTTCACTAATTATGAGTACTTCGTTATGTATTTACACTCGTTAAGAATCAATTTATTAGTAAGTAACAACTGTAGCAGGTATTTAAATATGTAATAAATTGTAAAAAGTTCATTAACAGCTGGATGTCATTTACATACAACGTGCATATTTTGTGTTTGCATGTTTATATTTAAAAACTCATTGTTTTGGTAATTAGTAAAGAAAAATTACAAGCATGTGTAGGTATTATGACTATACTATCAGGTAAAAACCAATGCTTACTATACTAAACATTTCTAAGTAAATGTAAATAATAAAATGTGATACAATCTCCGTTCCATATCTCGGTCTTTTCAACTTAATGACCCAATTTTTCTAGTAAAATATTTTGTAACAAGTCTTACTCATTCCAATCATTCTCATCGTTTCTCATATTTTAGTATAGTTTTCATTCTAAAAATAATAGATGTTCTATTATTGAAAATGTTTATTTGGTAGGCACAACAATTTGCTTAATATACGACAATTGGATTAACTAAAAATACAAACAATAAATGACAACACCTAATAGAAATAACTTATCACAAACGTTTAACGTGTTAAATATAAGATAATGAATATTGATGCGGTTAATTCCAATTATTTTCTGATATCTGGATGTGAATAACTGTTAACAGTTTTAGTTTACATAGCAGTTCATGAGAAACAATGAAGGAATATTAAGTAATTGGGGCACCGCAAGAAGTACTTAGATTTATAACAGCCTCTAGGAGAATAACAAACCGAAATTTCTAGAAGCCCAATCAAACCAGAATAATAGAATTTAGACATGAAGATGACATGTAAGATCTCGTAAACTTCCAAATGGTGCGCGCATTTCTTTAGGTAACAGGTATGTATACACAAGAGCATCGGTGACGTAAGTAACTAACACTAGGCCATTGCAACCATCAATAACAATTAATAAACATTCCTGTAATTCGATAAGTGGGCATGTTAATTAACTCTTTTCTGCTTCTACGAACCTTTCAGTTAAGGCAACCGTCGTATTATCCATTTTGCCCTACAATCGCAGATAGAGTTTTAAACGAAGTAAATAATAAGAACTGTCGTCGACAACAGAACACATATCGATTGTTCTCGAAGGCTAACATCACTAACACGAATTTTACGCACTCAACATATCACTAACACCTATCGGATTCGCCTTCGCGCCAAAAATTTTCGAAATCAATTCGATTAAGGCACTTATTTCGATCGCAAACTCAATCACTCTCCGTCGACCAACAAGTGTCAGCCATCTTGGGTAATTCCCGAAGAAGATTCTGCGCAGACCGGCCATTGCGAGAGAGATTTTTTACAACTTTTTTTAAGAAAATGCCTGAAGAAACAACAGCGAATTTAATTCAGCTAATAGCGTATCATTAACCCATGAAATAACAGTTTTAACTTTATGCTAAACCTAGCATTATGATGTTATGCACAAAAAGCAACTTTATTTTACACTTGTGCTTCTAAATATACCATGTTAGCTATAGCTATGATTTCTAAACAATTTACAAATACAGATAAATTTATCTTGAAAATCGAAATTGTTTCTATTTTTATTCGATTACAAAAACACTGTAAAATACATCAAATGTTTGTTATAAATAAATACAAGCGAAATACCACGTCATAAAACAATATCAATGAATCACCGAAGATGTTATCACAGTTATATTTGTCAAGTTTGTTATGACTATGACATAAGCACAATCAAGGTATTCCTCACTTTATAGGTATATTGCCCATAAAACAAATAATTGAAAATTAATGATTTATTTGCAAGATAGAATTTCTAGATACAAGTCAAATCTTACTACTTCCCCAATTAGAGAATAATTACACTATTAATTATCAAAACATATTTCAAATTGGTCTTTTAACTTGAATGTCAAAAAAAATATACGATAGGCATTATAGTTAAGAAGCGTGTAAACATTCTAAATAATAAAGCAATATTATTTTTAATATCTATATCCTGAAAATGTCGGTTTCATGCATGTTGCACCACATATAGACGTATCGCAACATTGTTTGAACATCGGACAATCCTCATTTGACCGGCAAAACTGAGGTGTTCGACAACTTATTCGAGCTTCTGGACTAGCTGGAGTTGGACAACCAGTGGGATTTAAATCTGAAAATATAAATAATAAAAATAATACATAAAATACTCCACGAGTAAAACAATTCTTAAATACCACTTTGTGATGCGGAGATGAGGTCAGTAATTACTTTATTTATCTCAGAGCATATTTTATTTACTTTTAAAATTTTATACTTAAAGTAGCATTTGTTGTTTACTACAGTCAAACAAAGGCACTTACATTCGCAACATCGTTTTTGGTATCTGCAACAATATCTGTTGACGATATCTCCACAGTTTTTGCAAATTCTATCAATACTGTTATTCTGTGTAAACACTAAACCTAAACTCAGCAATAGTAAAATAAAGCAAGTTTTGACAACCACCATGCTGCATGTTATCACTTATCAGTAAATCTAATCAACTGACCAGTACCTACTTGAGAAATCTTTAAAATTCAAGAAACAAAAAATTAGGCAACAGTAGCTACCTCAAAGAGTACGCATACAGAATTATAAAGCAAACCTACTTTAATGTCAGTGTTAATTTCTATCGTTATGAATGTTTTTTATTAAACATACAAAAAATTCAGAGTTGAATACTACAAGAAAATTGTTGGAAAAATTTTGTCATGCTTATTGTCATTTAAATCCGAGTTTAAATCAAATCGAAAACCTGTTTCGAAATGATTAGTTTTTTATTTTTATACCTACCGACATAAACTGCATTAAACAATTTCCAAGTATTTATTAATACATATTATTAGGAGTAGTAATTAAAAATAGTTTGTAAATGAATTGCGTTTTTTTAGATGATGAAATCATGGATTTGGGTTTTAGGTGATTTTATACATTATAAATTTATGAATAATGATGTTTTAGGTTTTGCAAATAAACATCACTGTCGCGTATTTTTTTTTGTTTTATAGCTACATTTAGCAACTTATTTATTTAATTTATTATAAAATCAAAAATTTGCGCAGTTTTTTAAGTGGTGGTGAAACTTGTTGGGGCTCAAATAACGTCAAAAAAACATTTTTTCCTTCTTAAAACATTTTATTTGGATGTGAATACAAAAATCAGTCCTACTACTATTACATTAATAAATGGTGTTTGCTTTACAGCATGATTATCTATTTTCACAAAAGGATAAAAGAAATCATGAGGCAATCGAATTTTCAGACTGGGTGGATCAACGAGTTTTCTCATTTTCTTAGTAGTGATGTCGTGAAACATAACTTGTGTACTTACTATAATGTTAAACTGAAAAGTATGGTTTAGGTCTACTGTAAAAGTAATGTTTTTAAAATTATCAAATTGAAACGTAGTGGCTAAAATTTTTTCTTGATTAATAACATCTTCAAAATCCACTCTGGCATGAAAAATTTCTGTAATAAGTAAAGTTGTAATGTTACCACATTTAAGAAATTTCTTTTGGCGGTCAAACTCTCCCCATGTTCTATTTAAAATGTCTTTGAGATCATTTTCAAACATTGGTCGCAGCCAATCGCCCATATTGTAAACGTATGCGTTACCAAACTGAGCAATTACTTTATTACTTAAGGTGCTATTAGTTGTTTTTAGAGCCCAATATCTGAATATGGTCTCCTGTATGGCAATGCATATATTTTTGGCAGACAGATTTTTAATCCAAAGATAATCATTAATTTCGCATTTTAGATAAATGTTATAACCGAACTCAATCGGAGTATATTTGTGTTTACTCAAAGCACACACACCTTCTGAATTTACAAACGGCAAAACCAGAAAATTTTCGGTAAAATCAAAGGGATTTCGGTATAGCCGTAATTGTTGTTTGAAACTTGTTGCATTGCTGGTCGAACTTGTATTACTTATAGGAACATTTACTAAAATAATATTTGCGATTAAGATTGGCTTGCCAACTAAATATCCCGGATTTCCACTAAGATGCGATGAATAATTCAAAGTGTGGTTCCACCAAATAAAATTAGCTTCAATCGTTTGAGAAAACTCCATTTCCTCGTGGTAATAAAAAGTGGCACTTTTCAGAATCAAGTAAAGTTCTACTTTTATCAAACCGCTACTACCGTTATGATAAAAATTGTACCTAACGCTTTGTACTAGATTAATACAAGACAATTCGTTGTTTACAGTGTTTAGTTTACATCTTGATTTTATTCTTGTGTCATTCTTCGAGATTTGGACACAGTCTTCAAAATCTTCGTTGCATATTTTTGGCTGAATATTAAGACAAACATTTTTTGGGCAATTCTGAAAAAAAGTTAACACTAACTCTAACAATTAAAAATATATGACAAAGATATCTACCTGGAGAAAATTTTTATTTTTAGAAGAGACATTTAGTAAACCCGGATTTGCAATTATTGTCATATTTCTGAAAAATGTGTCTGCTTTCAGATAATAATTATCTCCGGATATGTCTGTATGACTACAACTACTTTTGACGTCAATTAAATATTTTATATCTTCTTTGACCACGCAACTGGTCACCATAAAACTTTTAAGAAAATCTGGAATTGAAAACAATAAATTTATCAATTAATTTAATAAGTGGAGACTAACGTAAAGTTTCAATTGTATTATTTCTCAAAGTCCATAGAGACTTCCCAAAAGTGTAGTTGAAATAATTAAATATTTCACTATACTCTTCTTTAGGTTTTGGCCAAATAAATCTATTTTGTCTTTCAAATTGGGCATCTTGTAATGACTTTAACGGCTAAAATTAAAGTTATATTTGTATACCTATAATCTATTCACGGTGTAGACAATTCGTGAAAAAGTTTATCTATCTGCGTTGTGAATAGTGTTAACAGTTTTTTTTTTATTTTATTTATAACAACAGACATAAACTTAATCAAAAGTTTAATAAAATACAAATATCTTACTTTCTTTCGTTGAACTATGTAACTTGCTGGTAAATTGCTTCGAACGATACAAAACAGTCCATTTTGGTTAATTTGAAACTCATGAGGTGTCTTATTAAGGTAAATATGTTTCATATATTGGCAATATCTTGTATCATAATGTCGAAAATCTTTTTCACAATGATCGAATACAAGTTTATTTTCTAAGGAACAGTCTTTGTCGCAACAGCAGTTGAGATCACAATAATCAACCTACAATTTATGAAGATATATTTTATTTATTACTAAAAAAATGAGAGTTAATAAAGCATCCCTACTTACCGTTAAATCACAAATGCACAAATTCTTGCTAGATTGTTCTGAAGCTTTCATATCAAACTGCAAAAAGCTCGTAGGAGAAGGGGTCGTTACTAAAGCAGTCGTCTGTTTAGTGGGAGAGACAGTTACTGAATTTTGAGTTGTTGAATTTGCAAAACAAGAACTGTTGGCTTTACAAGTAGTTGTTGGAAAAGTAGTTGTGGACGAAATTGGTGTCGTTACATTTTTAATATTTTCTTCACTTGACAAAATTGTAGAAGATTTTGTTAATGCAGTTTTAGTCAAATTTTCCAAACTTGTGCTTTTTAATAAAACGCACAATATTAAAAATGTGGGTAAATTGTTAAGTGATTTATTCATATTCCACTCCATAGTTACTGAAGTTTCTAAACAAAAAATATTGTAATTTATGTTTTTTTTGTTTCTTCTTATTACCTAAGTACAACACATAATTCAAACGAAACAACTCCCATAGCCTCCGTGGAAAGTTTATAACGTTCTCCCGAATTGAAAATCAAATCGGGATTTTTTATTTGATACCCACCTCCTAGAAAATACTGCACGAAACGATCTTTAATTGTACCAAATGGTCTCCAAGTATAACAGTCTAAAATATGGGATCCGGGGGTTGTAGGAACTGTTATGAAACCGTAACCGAATATATGACTTCGGCCTAACCAGTCTAAATGATAAATTTGCAAATAAATTTTAGGCCAACCTAAAATAAGGATTATTCTACACTTTAACATGTTTTTTACAAGTTTTATAAAAATGAAATAGGCATAATAAATATGTAAAATTAAATTCCAATTTATTTAAAAAAAATAAACGCGCTTTGTGAAAAATTGACCAACCTTGAAGACCAGCCGTGGCTAGATGGATATCTATTGGATAAGACCACTTACAAACTTTACCAAACTGAGGTGATGTTACTTGAGTTTGACCTTCCTTTTTCCCAGAAATGACTTTCCAGTTATTTCCTAAAATTTTTTACAATAAAATAAATGTGAACGAACTACAGTGCAGGTGATTTAAAAGTGTTGGACCAACTTTCAAATTGTGATATAAGAAGACTTTCAGCTGAACATAAAAATAAATGCAGATTTTTTTCAAGCTTTATCTGAGAAAATACAGAACTAACAATTTCCATATTATCATGTAGGCACCTTAGCTATTTTGTTTTCGATGTTGTCGGATTTAATTTATTTCTGAATTTGCTAATTTGTTAAATGTTTTGTGCACAAAAAGTCTCAGATTGGTGATTTTTCAGAAGGTATTTGTTGCAAAATCTGTTATTTACGCTAACTAAATTCAAGAATACATGATCCCAACGTCCAAAAATTTAACCCAAAAATCTAACATTTGAAGAGCTAAATCTTATGAAAAAAAAAAGGTAAATCAATTTTTGTCATGGGAACTTATTTTAACTTAGTTGGATGTCTTTTACCACCCAAAAGAGGGTGCGATACTTGAATCATCCTGTGTAGGTTTGTACAGTTGGAGACAAAAAATACTTTAGTCGTCAATGTCACTTGAGTGACATTAAATTGTAAAGCATGCTTTAGGACTGTTAACTTTATTTTTAGCGAATGTCAATCATAGTTGACAACTTGTATGTAGGTACATATTTTTGATGGAAAAATATAATAGCTGTCATTAATTGAAATTGTCATTCATTTTAACGTTAATGCTTGAATTACATTAAAGTGTCAGAAAAGTGACGACCAAAGTATTTTGTCTCCAACTGTACAATAATTGTGTTTCATTTAGCAAAGTGAAAATTATCAAATTTGTTAAACTGCAATACTAATTATGTTACTTTGACTGGAGTTAAAAATAGTTTAAAGAAAAACGAGAAATTACGTTAACCAATCTGAAATCGAACACGAAACTCACCTATTTGCAGATACCATTTACAAAACAAATTTTGCTTTGGAAAATCTTTAGCTTCGATTATTTGTCCAATTATATGAACTTCTGCCATAAGGCCAGAATAACATTAAATGAAAAATGTTTGCACAACAAACAAAATTAAAATAAAAGTACCAATTGAGGAAAATACCAAACATGAAAACAATATTTTTGTTTACAACACTGTTTTCTGGTTGCTTAGCAACGATTTTCAAATATTATAAGGGCGGGGGTCATTTTTGTGTGTGATTAAAAAATACGCCTTCTATGATTTGGTACTACAAATTACTATAACTGGTATTTTTATTGTTATAAACACTAAAATGTACGATTTATTAGTTGCCAGGAAGACAGTGAGATACGTTTTTATCTAGTATTTTCTTCAAATTTAATTTTCTTATCGCAAAATCCGTTTTTTATTTTGGCACTTGTGCGCAAAAGCGGTACAGATTTAAAGTGCGCATGCTTGAAATCGGCAAATCAAGAAGGTTTTCGATTGACCAAATGTGTAAGATGGCCGTGAAAATTGTTAGTGACATTTCTTTCACCTCATGATATTTCGCAAATTACCGTTTTTACCACTTTATCAACTTGTTAAATGAAAAGTAAGTAATATTTGTTAATGTTTACCCTTAAGTTGTTTTATTAGACTTCTCTATTGTCGTTATGTAAATGATAAGGTTATTGGTAAAGTCGTTAGATTTTTGAAAAGTTTTTATTTACATAAAAAACCGTTTCTTTCTAAAGGGATTCTTTTGCATTTTGGAGGCCCTACTTCTAGATAATTAGATGAATTAGACAGGGTAAGTTATCTCAAGTGAAACTTTAGCAAATCTCAATTCCTCCATGTTGTAGATTGTTTATACTTTGCAATTTCGATTGTTAACAATGCCGAGACGTGTTAACGAGAGCTCAGGAGACAACGATTCTCCTAAAAAGAAGACTTGTGTCACTCCTGGAATGTCGTCTTTTGACTTAAGACATGGAGAATACCTAAAAGATATTACTGGAAAACAGTGGAAATTGGGAAAAGCTGTGGGTGTTGGGGGCTTTGGGCAAATATACCTCGCCTCTGATGTTCTTACCAAGGAAGTTAAAACTGATTGTGAATATGTGGCGAAGGTGGAAAGCCACAAAAACGGACCTCTTTTTGTTGAAGTGAATTGTTATTTAAGGATAGCTAAATCAGACATGAGTAAGTTAGGTAATTCAATGAGGAACTCGAATAACTCAAAAAATTCTAGTTGAAGAATGGAAAAAACAAAAGAAGATGAGTTCATTTGGGATGCCCCACTATGTAGCATCAGGTTCACATATTTATAAAGGTGAAAAGTATCGTTTTTTAATTCTTCCAAAATTTGACAAAGATCTCGAAAAAGTTCTGCAAGAGAAAAAAATCTTAAACCTCAAAACTGTACTCACAATATCACTACAAATAATTGACATTTTGGAATACATTCACAGTAAAGGATATATGCATTCTGATATTAAGGCATCTAATATTCTTTTAAGCAATCAAAATAAATCCAATCAAACTGTGCCTAAACGAATGTCGTCAAGTGGCTGTACTTTTAGTAGCCGCATCCGTGCATGTCGGAAAAAACCGACCAGAATCACAAGAAATTTAAGACCAAATGTGAAAGTCCCTTGCTATTTAGATGACATACCAAATTTTGAACAGATATTTTCCTCTAATGGTAATTAATCGGAGTTTAAGTTAATTAAAATAATTTACCTATATTCCAGCCTATGAAAAACCTACAAGTGTTAAGGACCAGGTTTATCTTCTTGATTACGGTTTAGCTTCTAAATTTTTATCATCAACCGGCGAACATAAACCTTTTTGTGTTGATGAACGCAGGGCTCACGCTGGCACAGTTTTATTTTGTTCACGCGATGCTCATAAAGGGGTGCCTTCACGACGCTCAGATTTGGAGTCTTTGGGTTACAACATTATTTACTGGTTGACTGGAAGTCTGCCATGGGCAGGTGATGTGGACAATCCGGAAATTGTAGCTAAGAAGAAACAGAGGGCGATGGCCGATGTGGAGTACTTCATGAAGTACTGCTTCACTGAATATCCAAAATTTCTGGAAGAATATTTTAAATACATTCAGAAACTGGAATTTCAGGTACTTTTTATTTGTTACTTTGTATTCCATTTTTTACACTGGTGTTTCAGGAAAAACCTAACTACAGCTACTGCAGAAAGCTGTTAAGGGAAAGTTTAAAAATAAATGGTTACAAAGACGATTCACGCTTTGATTTTGATAATGTACAAAGGAACAAATTAAAGCCAACAAGAATCAGAAAGAGGACTAACGAAAATATTACAGCACGAAAATTTATACACACAATATCACGCCTACCCCTACAATCAAACATCCCCATTAAACCACTGCTGAGAAAAAAGATAAAAAATAAGAAACTCAAACCAAAAGTAAATTGGTTTGAGGACCTCACTGACCCTGAAACAATATTGAAGCAAGGTCGAAAGAACTGTGAAAATACTGATGCAAACTTTGTTAGCAATATTGCAGAATTAAATATAAATGCATTGAATCCAACGTACGCTATGATTGAAGTTTATAATAGATGTAGAGAGAGGATAGATGCATCACCAACTTACAAGGGTGACAGGTTGGTACAATTTTTTTATTTTTTTTTGGAATTGTTTTGGTAAATTTGTTTGCAGTTGTACAGAAACCGTGAATGGATACACATCTGCTATGATGTATGTGTTAGAAAAAATGAAGAAAAGGAAAGAGTTGGAAGAAATGGCTGTGAACCTCAGTAGCACAAGAAGTGGTAGAATTCTGAAAAGAAATATAAGTAAACGTAATAAACAATATGAATCTCCAGTCAAGCCGCCTCAAACAAGAATCACGAAAACAGTTGCGAAGAAAGATCAAGCACGCAAGGTGAAAAGTGGTCTGTTGAGGAGGACTTACAGTTTAAGAGGTTAAATAAGTTTAATTAAGCTTTTTACGTTTATGTATTATTAACTGTTAAGACTGCTAAATTGTGTGACTAGAATATTCTTATCCTATTGAATTGTTTATTTCAAAAGATGTGTAGAAGAAATTTTGATTGTTTATTGTAGTTAAATTTCTTTAGTGAACTGTGACCAATCGGTTTTGACGAATAAATTGCTTCACCACTACAAAACAAAATAAATAGATTTGTTTTTATTGGAAAAATGATGTTCTATGCAATGAATAAATTTTGTTAAGTAATTTTCTCTTGTTAATTTGGTTTTGTTTTTGACAGTTTTCTATTATATTTGAGTTCGACCCTTGTAAGTAACTATACTTATTCTTGATTACTTGATTTAAATCGTTTTAATTCATGCTAACTGTCAAAGCGCAAATTAGTATAAACAGTTTGGTGGTAAATTTACTCTGTGATTTTTTAATTACTGTGAAATAAAACAATGAAATATGTGATATCTTTTATTTTGGTAAAAAATTAAAACTTAATCGACTAAAAGTGATTTGTAATTTTTTGAATGTCTGATAAATCATCAAGTAGCTCTTCTGGTTTAGTTCCTATCTTTTTTGAAACCTGTAAATGTCTGTTTTTAGTAAATAAACGAAGAAATAATAAAATTTACTTCTAATTTTTCTGGAATTGATAAGTGTAGATAGTTGTAAACTAGTTCACCGTCAATTACAGATCGGGCAGGATTGGTTTGTAGTTTCTTCCAACTTTTATACGTCCTGGAAAAGAAATAAGCCACTAACAAAACAAATAGCAAAATTTTACCGAAATGCTTTGGGATTTAATCCAGCAATGTGTGCCCCTTGGGAGACGAGAACGTTTTGCAACATCAATAGTCGGCGATAAGTTTTTTCAGGAACTGGCATTATGTAGCCAAGACCCCCGTCTAATGTTGCTGTAACAATAGTCGTTATATTATGAAAACATAATTTTTTTGACACGCACCATACATTGTGATATGACGCTTATCAGCTCCTGTTAAATTTTTCTTATCTTCTCCTAATTCACCAAGTTTGCATTTAATCCTAAAGAAAGAGTTGACAGCTTGTCCCAGATGAAAATCAGCTTTGCGTAATAGCCTTTGTCCTAAACATGACAATTAGATATAACTAATTTATAATAGGACTACATACCTCCTAGAGACTCCCTAGATTCGGGCTGATACATGTACAAAACTAAATTTTTTTCACTGTCGGAGACTAAAAAGCCCATGGTCGTGTTATCAATCATGTATTCAACTGAAAATACTTCACATGGCCGAAAATCCTAGCAAAAAATTAGTAACTTTCCAAGTTATATTTTGTTAACATACCCTTGAAACAAGTGATAACGTTCGGTATTCCTCTTGAAAACGCAAGAGTGATATAGACTTGTAAACATCTGCCACTAGTAGCAAACTTTTAATTGTTAAAATCTGGTGAGTGTATATTTGAGTGTCTATGAAGGCAACACCGACCAAATCATTGTCTTTCAACTGCCAAATATAAATCTACAAAATATTTTTGTTATTATTTCTAGATATAAAAAGCAATAACACAAACTTTTTGCCCCACTGCTGAAACTAGAAATCCTTTGACTTGACTTAGGGCCGTAACTGGCCCTTTCTGGTCCTTTGCATATATTTCTTTAAACCTGTTTTTGGTGAGAGGTTGTCCCGGTTCTGGGACTACCTCAATAATGTCATAGATTAAAATCTAAAATACAGATTTCTTTACAACCAAACTGACAAAATCTAAAGTTATTACCCGACCACGTGACGTCACATCCTCTCCATAGTTGTAGTTGGTACCTACAGCAATATAGCCTTTCAAACCCGACCTTGTGCCTTCATAAGCCAAAGAAACATTTTTCAAACAATTCACGTGCTCCCACTCGTCTAAATCAATCTTTGTATTGGGGATAACATCCCAAGACACAGGCGAAAAAAGCATTAGACTGAATTTTTCTTGCAGAGGATATGGAAATCTATCACCTCTGTCTTCAACTGATAATTCTTTATCTTCGCCATTAAATTTGTAATATTTGTTCGACGGTTCGGCAATACTTGTGACCAAGCAATAAGTTTTTGATTCTAAATGATATGTTACGAAATGGGGGGTACATCTGAGAGGGACCTTGCGTACCGGCCATGCCGCGTCATAGCTTAGATGAGTTGGTAGAACTCCTATTCTCAACTCAGACTAAAACATTTTTATTTTGTTATAATATTAATGGTTAATTTTAATTTACCTTTCTATTGAAATAAAGAAAACCTTGTGGACAGTTGACATTATTAAAAGGCGCAAAACTGAGAACTTCGCCGTCAATTGTCATGGGGTGTGTCCTTAGCTCGCCCCTAGCCGACATAAAAATCCAATGCGGGTTGGCCCCGCAAACAAAAACGCCATTATAACCTGCAATGTTAGTAAAGTATCGCATTTTAATTATCCGCTCTTGAATTGCGAAAAAATCGGAATCTTCCGTGTCAATTCTTCCGGCCACATTTGGCGAATAAATCAAGGAATGTTTGATTTTCCTGAAACGCATTTTCAGGTTGCCTCTCGGAAACCTAAACACTTCATAAATGTACAAATCGCGGTCTATTCTGACCATTAATAGTGGCCTCGAGGCATGATTTCCCAACGCAACTACAAGAATTTCCTTAACTTCGTATAGCCTTTGAATGTTGGCTTCATGTGCTGCAGAAATCGGTGTTGAAGCTGAGATCGTCACCGATTCCAAACTATCAACCAGGACTTTATGACCAAAACACAAATTTGTTATGTAATAACACAATTTAAAATCCGGGATTGAGTAAATTTCCAAATTGGAGTTTTCGCGTACTACGAAAAGCCAATACGACGGCCGGACATCTAGCAGATATTTTTTCCACCAGTTGTAATAAACTTTTGGTTTTGGTTGTGGTGGATTTAGAGTTGGCATTTTAAAATCGCTGTCGTCGCCGTACAGAAGATCGTCTTCATTTTCAACTTCCATTTTAGTTTCAGACTCATTGATAAAATGTTCGGGAATGTGGGTGAAGTCCTCCGGGATTTTTGAAGTGAAAAGACCAGAAACATCGCGATACATGCATATGGTAGTGACGGGGGGTGACTGTAAAATTTTGTTTAATTTTTTGGCGAAAGAAAACATGAGCTGCTACATTTGAGAGAGTGGATTTACTTATGACTAATTTAGCGACCCCTCTAGCTTCTCGGAGCATAAGCGTGATCACTTGACCATCAGTTGTCAATAGCGAGATGTAGGGGTCGACACTAGTCACGTGGACTATGGGGGACCCCAATTCCAGAGGAATATGTTGCAATTGGTTTATTCCTGAAGACTTATACTTTTATCAATGAATTTAGTAAAAAATACCTGCCTTGTAAAAGTCGTATAGCACTGCTGGTAACTTGAACAATATATTTCAAGTTTCCTAAATTACCGGCATAGACGGTGGGTATGTGAGTCGCAAACCCCGTATTATCAATCTCGTTGATTTCGTCACCGGTTTGCAAAATCTATGAATATATGAAATTACAAATGAGTTTATTTTTGTAAATTTATTTACCATCGTGCCATCTTCCTGACTCAGTATAAGAAACGCATGTTTTTCTTCACCCGCATGCACTGTCCACATATTGGAACACCCAGGAAGGGTGAAAGTGGTCACGATTTGTGGCCTTACAGATTTCTGTAAAACGCAAAGCGCTCCGTTTTTGCCGTACCCAGCCGTTGTGACAATTTCTAAATCTAAATCTAGATTTTCAGAAAATTCCTCGCTCAGAAAAGCCGGTTCTCCGAGCGAGATGTTGCCGCAGGGGCCGATATTAAGTAAACTATCGCAGACCTAATGAAATATTGAATTTATGAAATTTATATTTGAAATTTTTTGTTTGGTTACTTCAAAAACGTAGCTTGTTATTTGAAGACTTGCTTGTCTTTGATTTCCATACACCTCCAGTTCTTCTGGATCGCGTATATCTAACACATCACTAGCCATACAGTCGTTTAAAGAGTCCAAAACTTTATCTTCTTCATTTTCACTAGTGCTGTTGCTAGCTTTCAAGCGTTTAGCACTCGGCTCAATTGTTTCATCAAGAGTGATGACTTCGTTACATTTTTCGGTGAAACGCAAAAGAAGGGAATTTCCGAGCCGTGAACCGAGGAACAAAAAATTGTTTTCACACACTGAAATCTAAAATTTTTGTGGCCAATTACACAATACCATTTTTTACATTGTTATACTTACACACGTGGTGAGAACACTGGCTGCTGCTTTTTCAAAATGAAAACTTCTAACATACCGCATATTATCTGCTAGCAAAGTTAAAACGTAAAGTTCGCCCCCTTTCAGAGATAAAACAATCGTATCATCTTCTAAAAATGTGGCTTGTGCACAATCTAAACTGATACATAAATCTTCTTGTTGTTCTAGGAGAAGGATCCAAATAAAATTTTGTTTATGAAATCAGAATTTCTTACTTAATGGAAAGTTTGTTGAATTTTCTGCAATACTGTTTAAGGAAACTCCGTAAGGTGGAATACTCTGATTTAGATAAATCAAGGCATTAACAGCAAAAATCAAAGTGCCACCTAAAGGTTTCTTAATTGGAACTGCTTTTACACAGTCAAACGGTAAATTTGCAACACTCCAAATAATCGGATGTACTCTTTGTTGCAAGTTTAGGGAAATTGCTGCCATGGCACATGTATCAGTTCTGACAGCAACTCGCCTAAAGCAAAAATAAATAATATTCGATTGAGGAATGATGTAGTAGCAAATACCCTGCAAAGGTTTTTAAGGGTTCAAACAAAATTAGCAATGTTGGTTCATAATAGCCGTGCAAAAACTGAATATCTATTATATTGTCAACTTTATCAATGAATTCTTTCAAAACAATCATATAGGAGGCTAAAATTGGCGCTTTTGCGCCATATGCACCCCCACTCATGGGCTTAATATCGGCATCAGTGTCATCAATGGCATTTTCACGCCTGAAAGGTAGAACTACCAATTTTCGACCAAAAACGGTCATAACAGCGCATCTGTTTTCCGGATCAGCTCTTACAATAGGGACATGGTAATGATGGGTCCAACCATCCTAAAAAAAATTAAGTAACACCTCAAAAATATCTACATTGATTAAACACCTTCATGTCATCTTCCTCAAAGTAATGCAAACTGAGCGTTTTCAAATCGTGAGTTTCTGGGTCATATTCCACCACTGAAAGTTTTGCATCTTTAAATGCTAGCAGCAAAGCGTCCCTGGGTGAGTTTGCCAGATTTACGCTTTGCATGGACATGATGTTTCCAAATAAAGTGTATTGGGCGACACATTCTAGCTTTGATTTCGGAGGATTTGTTTCTAAACGGAATAAAAACAGTATACATGGCTGAAAATGTAAAGTATTTTTTTACCATTAAATTTTTCAATTCTGGTTTTTGCGTCAATGTCTGGAATTAAGCGAAATACTTTGATTACGTTGGCTCCAGATGTTACTAAACTTTTTTCAGATTTGCTGAAAAAATGGCACGAAATAGCGTGTTCCACCCCCGTGGCAGGGTGAGTTTGTTTACAAATCGAAAACATTTTCAATAGTCGAAGCTATAAAATGAATAACGATAAATTGTTAAACATGCATCATTACGGGTTATTTTGTCGGTTTAGCAAATTTGCGGGCTGCAATTCATTTAATTTATTTTAATTTATAATCTTTATTTGAATGATAACCTATAAAAATACTGTTGTTACGTTTTTAACGATGAATGTGTGTGCGGCACATTACGTGTGCGATCATAGTGTGCGGTCTGATTCAGAAATCCGGTTCTATCGAAAACATGTAAACCCAAGATCTAAAAATTATTTTAGTAAAAAAGTGTAAGGAATTTTAAGTGAAATATACAAAAAACAATACGTATTAATGTAAAAATATAAAAAGTCTTATCAATTAATGCATTAATTTGATCACATCAATAATTAATTAATATTAGAGCCCTAGCGAACATTTTAGAGTTTTAGACCTTGTAAAGTTTAGTTTAATTTTTTGACAGGTACAATGCTACACATGTGTTTGTTTTTGAGGTTATAATAGAGAATTTTAAAACTTTTCTTAATTTTTGAACTTAGTGATAGGAAAATATCAGTAAAAGATTGTGTTGCAAAGTGCACATTTGGGCAATTTTAATCATGTCACGTTTGATCGTTAAGAATTTACCTAAAAACGTACGTATTTTAATTATATAGACTTTATTGATGTTAAATTTTTGTTGTTGTTAAAGATAACTGAAGAAAAAATTAGAAATTTATTTCAAGAGAAAGGCACTATAACTGATATTCAACTAAAGTATACCTCTGAGGGTAAATTTCGTGAATTTGCTTTTGTGGGGTACCAGAATGAAAATGAAGCTGAAGAGGCCATTAAATACTTTGACGGCATGTTTATTCAAACTAAAAAAATAAAGGTTGAGTCATGTGCATTATTAGGTTAGTTACAATAGTGTTTTTGGTTTTGTATTATAAAAAACTGTATTTTAGGAGATTCTAAAAAACCTAAAGCTTGGAGTAAGTATACATTGGAGAGTACTGCCTACAAAAAGGCTCATGGAATTGCAATAAATCAAGATACTAATGTAAAACCCAAAGTTGGAAAGAAAAAGAAAGAAGACGAAACTGTGGAATTACTTAAAAAAGTAAAAGTAAAGCAAATAGTTGAGATAAATTAATCCATAATTATTTTTTAGTATCAAGATGATCCAATGTTTGAAGAATTTTTGGAACTTCATAATCCTGAAGATAGCAAGAAACTGCGTAAAATTATACAAAAAGAAAAAGAACAGAATGAGACTAAATCAGAAAGTGAAGAAGAAGAGGAAGAAGCCAGCTCTTCAGAGAATGAAGCAAAAGAAGAAATGCAAAACAGATTGGCTGATCAAAAAATTAGTGATTTAGAATACATGAAAAAGTTGGTAAAGAAAAAAGAAAAACCTAAGAAGGAACCCAAAAAGTTGGAGTTATTTACACTTAAGGTAAACTTTACTGTCATAACCAAATAAATTTTTTATTTACCATTTTTAGTTAAGAGGGCTTCCATATAATTGCAAAAAGAAAGATATCAAACAATTTTTAAAACCTGTCACACCGTTTACTATCAGATTACCTGCAAAAATTCATGGAATTGCATATGTAGGTTTTAAGACTGAAAAAGATTACAAAAAAGCACTCTTAAAAGACAGAAGTTTTATTGGTAAGTTTTATAGAACGGAATAATTAGCATTTGTGTAATTTTTTTTAGCTGGAAAACAAATTTCCGTCATGCAATATTCTGGAAAAAACAATACAGAACAGGAAGAAACTTCAAATAATGTTAAGAAAAGATGGGTGAATCAGGAAGAGGCACTTAAAAACGAAGAAGATATTGCGGAAACAGGAAAAATTTTTGTTAGAAATTTGGCCTACACCACAACAGAGGATGATCTTGAAAATTTATTTACAAAATTTGGACCTTTAGTGGAAGTTAATTTGCCAGTGGATCCTGCATCTAAAAAAATTAAAGGTTTTGGTACTGTAACATTTTTAATGCCTGAACATGCCGCTAAAGCATACGGGGAACTAGATGGGTCTATTTTACATGGACGCATGTTGCACCTTTTGCCAGGAAAAAGCAAAGATGTGTCAGATGAGACAGAATTAGAAGGTGCTTAGGAGCAATTTTAAAATTGTGAACTATTTTTTAATTTTTTTAGAAAGTACAAATTATAAAAAGAAGAAAGAAGCAACACAAAAATCTCAGGCTGGGTCTTCTCATAATTGGAATTCCTTATTTTTGGGACACAATGCAGTTGCTGAAGTTATTGCAGATACATACAACACATCAAAAGAAAAAGTTATGGGAATACATGATGAAGGTAGTGCTGCGGTGAGACTTGCATTGGGTGAAACACAAATCGTGGCGCAAACTAAAAAGTATTTAGAACAAGAAGGAGTCCTACTTGATACTTTCAGTAATATTGTAACATAATTTGTATTTGATTTGAATGGAAACTGATTTAAAACTTTTAGAAATGTAAAAGGTCAAAAACAGTCATACTTGTAAAGAATTTACCAAATAAGACTGAAGCAAAGGAAATTAAAAAAATATTTGAAAAATATGGCTTGATTGGAAGGCTGATTTTACCGCCTAGTGGCATTACAGGTGCTTATTTGTGTTGTCATAAAAAACAAATTGTTTTGTTTTGTTTGTAGCAATTGTTGAATTTCTTGAACCATCTGAAGCCAGAAAAGCCTTTACTTGCTTAGCTTACACAAAATTTAAAAATGTGCCGCTTTATTTAGAATGGGCTCCTGAGAATTCGCTAACTGAAAGAAAAGGACCACTTCCTGAAAAGAATGAAGAAATAGAAGAAATGAAAGAAAATGACAATAGTAATGAGGATGAAGAAGTTGTCGAAGAATCAGAACCTGACACTACATTATTTGTTAAAAACTTAAATTTCCAAACAACTGATGACGGTCTGAGAAAGGTTTGTTGTTTTATTATTCTGTTTGGTTTCTTAAATTTTTTTGTAGCATTTTGAAACTTGTGGCAAACTTGCTTATGCCAACGTTGCAACTAAAAAAGACAAAAACGATCCAAGTAAACGTTTATCTATGGGATATGGTTTTGTAAGGTTTATACATAAAAGTAGCGCAGATAAGGCTCTTAAGACATTGCAGCAGAGCACTTTAGACGGAAAATCTTTAGAATTGAAGAGATCTGAAAGGACATTGAAGTTAGTTTTTTTCTAAATTCTTTTTCAATTATAATTTTATTTTATTTTAGCAATGACGTCAATGCTACGAAAAAAAGTACCAAAGTTACAAAACAAACAGGAACCAAGATTTTGGTTAGAAACATCCCATTCCAAGCTAATCAAAAAGAAATTAGAGAACTTTTTAGGTATTTTATTGAAATAGCTAAATTCGGTGTTTATTTTTTGTTGTAGTGTTTTTGGTGAGATTAAAGCCTTAAGACTGCCAGTGAAAATGGCTCAGGATGGGGGCTCACACAGAGGCTTCGCATTTGTAGATTTTGTGGCAACTTCTGATGCTAAGGTAGAGGTATAAATAATATTGACTTTTCATAATTTTATTTTTAGAATGCATTTGAGGCAATATCTCAAAGTACCCACTTGTATGGTAGGAGACTAGTTCTTGAATGGGCTGCAAGTGAGGATAGTGTGGAAGACATTAGGAAAAGAACAGCGGCTCATTTTCAAACCACTGAACCAGTCAAGTCAAAGAAAAGTGTTCTAAATATTGATTAGTATCGAATAGTTTTATTTTTTGTATATAAGGAAAAATAAAAAGTAGTTCTTGGCTAGTCAAGTTTTATTACCTCTAGAATACACCAACATTACAAAATTAAATTACAAACAAAAACAAAAAATCAAAACGTAACTAAATCCAACTACAGGGCGCCTCCAATTACTTCTTAAGAAGCTGCTCATCTTGCATTGAAAGTTGGCCAAGTTTCTTTCCTATGCGTTCATGGATGTCAAGAAACTTTGCAACACATCTATCAATGCAAACTGCCTCGCCTTTGGCAATTTCCGCATCGTTATAAACTGGAGGAATGCACTTTTTGTGACAAGCTGTAGTTAGACGGTTGTACATGTCAGCCATCATTTCAATTTCCAATTCTTGCATTAATTGCAACTTTTGTGCGTCACTCTCTGCCATTTTAGTCTCTTGCAAATGTGACGTGTTATTTAATTCGATAATTAATTTCTAGGAGAGTGACGAGGACCCAATTCGTAATCACCAACGTTTGAGAGTCGCATGCGTTCTCTAATTTTCATATTCTCATAACGCCTTTTTTCAACACTTGACTTGGATAGGTAAAACAAATAAATACCAAGCGTTGTACATACGGTCCTGTAAACGGAAAAATTATAAAGAAGGAGAAAAACGAATTTTTGTCGGAAGAAAAGTGAGGTTATGTTCTGATATTTTCTAATTTTTAAGACTTACCATCCAATGCCTATTTTTGCATGTGTCCCCAAGCGCATACTTCTATCAGTGCTTTAATTCGTCATTTAAGAATAGCTTATAAATACCAAAAATTGTAAATTTCGAAAGTTATTAGGGTTATGCTCACATGGACAATTACGATTGCAACACGTTGTGGATGTGCTTACGACTACGGATTAAAGCTTGCGTTTAATTATCCAATATAAAGTATAGTTTACACGGTATTTATATTTGTTAAAATCCATTTTTTATTTTTGAAGTTAACTTTTACCAAAGATCAAAAAGCTATGTTTTGTCACCATAAGCATTTTTTTAAGTTCATCTTCAACTTCTAATTTTTGACAAATTTGTTAAAAAGATCATAAAGCGACTTCTTTTTAATGTTTTGCGCGCTTGATCGAATTTTTGCTCAATTTTTGTGATCACAAAGGATTGTTGTTCTATTTTCTGTTACCACAAGGATTTTTAAAATATTTTTCAAAACACATACAATTTAAATTATTGAAATAGCTATCTAACAAATATTTACGGTTTTTTGTTATTTTTCTTGTGTTCGTAGTCAAATTTTTTTCTTATTTTTGTTCTTACAAGAAGTTTGAAAAATTCAACTTAAACTACCTACTGAAACTTTTTAACTTTGCAACAAATATTTACAAAAGTTTTTTGCCTGTTGTTTCGTGCGCCTGATCGAGTTTTTTAAGGAAAAGAGAGGAATATTAAAAAAACTACAAATTCTATTATTAATTTATTTTATAACATATATAATAATGCTATAAGTTATTTTTACATTAAAAAATAATATTTTCTACATCATTATACAAATGGATTTATTTCTAACAAATAACCAAATAATATTAGTCGTGATATAATCATTTAAACAATCGTAAATAATATGACACGAATTTATAATTTTAAATATTATAACAGATTATATGATTTGTATAATAATTAATTATATTTTACATTTAAAGCCTAAGAATAATAACACGTTTGATTTAAGTCATTTTATTATTATTGTAACATCACATATATTCAGAAGATCTCTATCCATTAACATTAGACTTGGTTTACTTTGGTACAAAAATCAATTTGTCTACACAAATATAAACTATAAAAATATAAAAAAGTGGCTACAAATTTTAAACATAAAATTTAATTAAAAAATTGATTAAAAATACATAAAAAGTAGGTAGAAGGTAGGCACACATTTGTAGAAAAGTCTTAAAATCTACTCACACAACATAAAAACATTTTTGGTGTGTGCAGAAAATTTGCCATGAAATAAGAATTTTGTCGCACGTATCTACAATATGTTTTAAAATATACGAAAACCTACCTGGTCTACCTACTTGGCTCGTTGATGACAAATTTGACTGGTTATTGGATTAGTGTGTGAAATATCGGTTTTCATTTTTTAATTTTAATTCTAAAATTACCGTCATAAAAAAGGTGCAGTGGACTAGTATGTCATTTAATAAATAATCGTAAAAAATGAAAACGATATGAACAGATACCAGCGAGATATTTACATAGGTATTTAATATTAAAATGTACAACAATCTGACGACGACTTATATATTATATTTACAACTCCGCATGTTCTAAGCTATTTGGTTGATAAAACAAGTCAGTACTGTTAGACCTATTCTCTTGTTTAGGAAACACGTGGTCGTAATACTTTTCGTTCTCAAATTGCAACGGTTTAGGTCTAGGCCTGTCTTTATTTTTACTGTATTTTTTCTGAGATCGGCGAACATATTTATTATCTACAGGCAGAGAGGCCCTGTGCGAGCCCATCGCCATCGTGTTGTAAGACCAATTATCGAAAGGTTTTTGGCTAGTGTATTTATTAAAACTATAGTACTTGCTCCGATCCTGGTAACTCTTTTCGGTATCGTTATCGTCTGACTCGAAGAAATTGAGAGCTAATTCGCGATTTCTCAAGTGAAGAGTTTTGGGTTCTAGGCCAGAGTAGACGTTTTCTTTTGGTTTTTCTTCTACACTATTTCTACCATTGAATGTGAGTGTGGTTTGCTATATTTACAGCAGTATGTTAGATTGTGTTAGTCTGTACCGTTCGGAAAAACGAAAGATTATTTTTATAAAATTTGCATTCGATGAGTGAAAAAATCGTTCGTTTTCCGGAACATTCTACAAATTTACAATGAATAAAGTCATAATAATTATAAGTGTAGTGCGATGATCTTCTAGCCGTCTGAGGCACCACACCAACCAGCGACAACGGGCAGGATTAGAATCATGTGAGGTGGTTTGAGAATGTGCTCAGGACAGGAGTCTGTGTGGAAAATCAGTGTAAGTGTAGTTATGTACAGTGTAGAGTAGAGTGTTGTACAACAGCTTAACAGATGTAAAGATAATTTAATTTCGGCTCAAAACTCACAGAACTTGCCGAGAGAGTTTATGTTATATCAAATAATATCACCACTTTCTCCACTTAGCTGGAAGGATTCTCCTATAATTTGTACTGTCATCAGCACAACTTAATTTTTAAAATAAAGGATTCTGCAATAAACTGAAATTCCCTTAGGTTAGATTATACCATTTTTAAAGCATTTTTAGAAAACTTGCTTCAAAATACAAAGTTGCGGTTTAGTTTTTATTGTGCAGTAATGGATTTTATTTTACAGAAGATTTTTAAAAATATTATTTTAACAGGAGATGCGCTCAGGATCTCCTACAAATGATAAATGTGTGTTTACCACAAACTAAAAGAAAAATTTCACATACGCGTGAAAAGCAATGATTTGATGTAATTTCATTTTGATGGTATTCAATATGTGGTACCTGCTAACGAGCATTTCGCGATAAATTAATTAATTTTGTTTGCACAACTAATGATTAGTATGAATTAAACTATATTTACATGAAATAATAAATTACATAATTGAATAATCATGAAGATAATTAACATAAAATTAGTTTGAGTTTTAATGTAGTTTGAATATGTAATGTGTACAGTTTTTAGGGTAAGTAGCAATGCTGTTGTACAACACAAATAACATGTGTAGCCACCTTGGGGCATCAACTCTAGTAGTTCAAGGTGCTTGGAAAATGTGGATTTTCCAACGCCTTAATTGAGGTTAATCAAAATGTTATTGTACTGTGAGTAGACAAAACCGCATTTCTCAAAACTACAGTGTTAATTAGTGCATGTGCAAATATTTACAACGGTGCAAAAGTGCGTTAGAGTTCATAAATTACAAAACATTCTCTATGTACAAATGCTACTTTCACTCTGGTAATATTAGTGTTGGATTAGGTAAAACAGTTTGCGTATTGAAAAAAAAAACAAGAAAAAATTGCCAAAAATAGAGATTTCCCACCCTGTTTGTATGAATTATTATTATTGTCAAATGATGTGGCTGTTGTGTTCAAAAGAATTCTCTATTTTTCGCTGTGTGGATGTTTAAACGAACGCTAATAAAATAAAATAACTTCTTTAACTTAGTTACTATAATTGAGATAAGTTGGACTTGTTAACTAATAACAACATTATTCGGAAACGCTAAAACAAGTCTCACAGAGTCGTGGTATCTAATGACGTTATTATTAGCTACAAGCACGGACAAGGCATACAAAGTATAAAAATCAGCAGACAAACTTGCAGGTCTATACCTATTGAATAAAAAACTTTGAGTCGTAGGTAAAGTTTGCTGGGTGCGACTGTGACCAAAACAGTTCCAAATAGGGGGTGTAAACTGTTTTGAAATTTAAATCGAACCTGTCGTCGCATTGTTTGATAAAAATATCACGATGTTCAGCTGCCATCGAGTAGCACCGACTGAAATTCAATTGGTTAGTTGCAGAACGGCGCGCTTCCTTTTTAAGGACCTGACAGAATTACAATTTATGAACCGCTCAAAACATTTCGGTCTTAAATCCAATAAGCGGAATTAGATTAGTACGGAAGTAGATGATTTGTTATGTTGTGCTCGGCATTCACTCGATGCTAAATTTACCTCTAATACAAGGTGAACCACGACTTACTGCCCCCATCTAACTGAAAGCTTGCACAGTGATACGATGTTAATCTGTCTCGAAGCTGTGTCATTTTAGATATAGCCGAAATATGAATTTTTTTTTCAATGGGTAAAAAAACATTTTTTATAAATTAATAAAATATAGCAAAAATCACGGGGGTTGACCGGTGCGTCATCTGACGTTTCTCCTTACCACGTTTATATTGCGATGACAAAACGTCATTTTTTTTGACGTTAGGTTCAATATCTACGAGTTAGAAGTTGTTTATTGATGAAAGTGTTGCTTTGTACGATTCAAAGCATTTAAAATTTAATGTAATACCTAGATTCGAAATGACGTTCTACATTCTAAATTCGGAATTTTTAGTGTACATCTGTATAAAACCGAATTTCTAAAGAACAGTGAGTATGTTGAGAAGAAAACAGATGCAAAATCGGTATTTCATAAATAGGAATCATCATAGACATGAAGCGTGGACAAGTAATTTCTTACATTGAGTTTTTTAAGAGTTTAAAAACTATAGACGATCTTATGCATTCTTCCAGGTAAGAAAAAAAGAAAAAATGAAATTCAAGACGTCTATAAAACAAAGTTACATCTTACATCCTTCGAAAATATACTATAAACGATAAGAAGCTTTTATTCTGATCTTATGAAAACCAGAAAGTTATTTATCTGAGAGTCATAATAATGCGTTGATTTCAGTTAATTACTTTATTAAATAATAGACTTCTTAAACAAGTTTACCTCAAATATCTTAAATAGTCACAATTTTATTTACAGAGTGTGGCCTGCTGCATCCTTAGAAACCCTTTAATTGTTTCAATTTACATTGTGATAGAATTTTTTATTTCAATTTTAAGTTGGTAATGAAAAAATAAAATTGATGACGCACCGGTCTACCCTCCTGATTTTTACTATACAGGGTGTTCCGGTTTTATTGTTACAAATTTGAACAGGTGATAGAATATTCAATTTTAAGATAAAAGTTTCCTATAAACATGTATAGAAAAATTTTACATAAAGAAGCTACATCCCTTGAAAGGGGTGCAACTGTTAATGGATTTTTTCCAATATTTCAGAAACCATTGTAGATAAAATTACAAAATCTGGTACAACTAATAACCTTTATACGCCCAAACGAATCAAAGATAAAATGTCGAAATTTTCACTCGGAAGCATTCTGAACTGGGGGGTTTAGGGTAAAAAGTACCCTAACTATTTTGGCTGTTGGTTCTTGCCATTTTCATCAGTCACAAAATTCTAAATTTCATAGCAAAAAAGAGGTCTCTTGTGTTTTTTCGATACAACTTACCGTTTTTAAATAAAATCAGTTTACAATTTGTCTTACAGACCATGAAGCAGATAAAAATTAAAAATAAAATTCGTTTTACCGTTTAAGACGCCCGTGATTAAAAATTTTGACAACTGATCTTTGAATGCGTTCATGGGTTTATCAGCTGTACCAACTTTTGTAATTTTATCTATTCTGCAATAGTGGGAAAATCCCATTAAAAAAGCATCTCTTTCAAGGGGTGTAACTCACTTACATAACATTTTTTGATACATGTTCATAGGAAACTTTTGTCTTAAAATTGAATATTCTATCACTTGTTTAAATTTGTAACAATGAAAACGAAACACCCTGTATTTAAGTTAATCTATGAAATCTGATAATTTAAGTTTTATTTGAAGTAAAAAAGCGTATAGAAAAGTTGTAGCAAGTGATATTTCCTCAATCAAAATTTGACAGTTTTGGGTGGTAGTAAGCCTTGAATCACGCTGTACATCTGACAATCCTCCGAGCAAATTTAATTTAATTTCGTGAGAGCTTAGAAATCGATGGCAGCACTCGGATTAAAAGCGGTTAGCAAAGATGAACACGTGACGTGAGATTAGCACCTTGGTTGTTTTTTTTTTCAAAACAGTTAACACTTATACTCGATCACTGTGGCGGGTCGGCCGTGTTTAAAGCCGTTGTTCCGCCGCAGATCGAGGGTGCAGTGCTACACTCTAGTGGGGGGATGCAGCACCATGGCGGCGAGACGTACCTTCATGGCCTCGGGGCTGCTGTGACCTCTAGGAGTTGTCGTATAAATGGCATCGGCAGGAATACCTCCAGGGCCGGTGGCTGTTTTTTCTATATCCACCTTTTGCCTACAAAATCAAAACGGATTAAGCAATCGATGAAGTTAACTGTGTTTATCTTACTAGCAAGTAAAACATTTATGCTACTGCATACTGCATAAATGTTTACTGCAGGTTACCATAATAGAACTAATTAGGAGCGAAGCGTAAGATCAGATATAATAGAGTTAACTGGTAGACGTTACCCGAGTATGGATGTATTAACTGTATCTATATTAACTATCAACATATTGCTTTAGCAAGTCTCATTAACTGTGGATCGTGTGTTATTCACCAACACCATAGTTCATTATAAATGGAGCTATTGGTTGATTAGTTATCGAGTTGTGGTGAGCTTAGAGACTTTAATAGTTTATTTATTATGTCATTTATTAAAGAATCGTTGCCAAAACATTCCAAAAAGCTTTAATAAATTTGATTTTTCTATAAAATTGTCTGAAATATATGACTGCAATAAAACGTCATAAGCTCTTAAATTAGGTCATGTCTGCCAATAACATTTTGCTTATTAAAAGTTGGCAGATTCAATCTCGGAAGATCTTAACTTCATGGAATGTAATGTGTAAATAATCATTTAGAATCCCCGACCAAAAAAGTTTGAAGTGTACGAAGAATTTCAATCTCTGGTAGTCGGAAGTTGTTGCAAATGTTTTAGGTCGCTAAAGTGATTTTCCGGTTTTAATTAAAATGGAAAAAGGTAGTCACGTTTGTAGCATCTGACATCATTTCATGGTTAAGTTACAGTTGAAATATTCGAAAAATTATAAGTTTTCCAGAAGCTATAAACAAATTACTGAACATGTTTTTTATTTGATGGAATGTGAACAGACAAAAAATGTGAATTTTACTTTTTGCTATTAAGTATAATTAAATCCATTTTGTATACAACGCTAGGTTTCTTCGATAATGGATTTTTATTAAAAATTAAATTAAAAATTCTCTGCTTAAATATTGGTTCAGCTTATTTCACGTCGTCTATATTACCTATATTATTAAAATTTTTGAAATCAATCTACCTCCAGAGACACCTAATTGTGTAATTAAAATTTGCTTGATTATGTTCCATGAGAGGGAACGAAAAGCCTTACAAATTTGCCTAAAATTAGGAGTAATAACAAATTTTGTACAAGTTGGTCGTAATAACTTAAAAACGATGTCATTTGTGAAATAACTGCTGAGTTTTAAGACATAAATATGGATCTTAAATTAAAAAAAAATTAGGAATTAAGTAAAGACATAAAAACTACGAAAATTGCTCAAAATCCTTTCCAATGCTTCAATTAAATGAGACTTGAAGCTAAGCAATTGCTTCATAAATGACAACGTTTTTAATTTATCATCACTTGTACCAAAGTCATTGTTACTATTTTTGCTAAGCTGTATCTTTTTTTTCTCAGAATAACATTTTCTGTTACTGGTTGACATATGGCGGTTTATTTTTGAGACAGCCTGTATATATAATTAGCAAAAAAATATTTACAAGCGTCGAAATAAATTCATATTGTGCTAATTATAAAAGACTATGTTAAATAAAATTTCAAACTTTGATTTAAATTTGATTTAAATGAAAAACATCACCCGTGTTTCTTGCATTACTCATTTCATAATTTTACATAAGAAAAAATGAGATGTTTTGTTACATGTAGGAAAATGATAAATAAGGATGTTGTGTTGCAATAAAGCGTGTTAGACAGTAATGTATTATATGCAAAATTACTCAACATTCCTGGGAAAGCATCCTCATTTTGGAAGGCATAATTTAGATATTCAGTAATGCAAGGCAAGGAGGAGACTTCCGTCCTGTCGTAAAACGAAGAATAAAGACAACGTTTTAACAGATTGGATAATAAAAGTGAACCTCTATGATAACCACGTAACTCTACACTAAAATAAAACGGAGATGTCCACACAATCAATTAGACAAGTAATGCTTAAATCTAGGATTACGTCAAAAAAAGAAAATAAAGTAGGGAATAGTGGAGAATAATTAGAGAAGTGAACTGATTTAAAAAAGTAATTTATGAAATGTCAGAAGAGCTGTTTCATATCTTTATCAGGAAAGCGTTGATAAGAAAGCCCTAGCAGTATAAACAAGTCGAAGCTCTTCGGGCTTCGCCTTATAAATATTCGATATCAGCCACAAATAACACGCCCGACACTGATTGCCAAACGATAAAGGATTTCCTAATCTTCATATGAAAAACACTACGTTTCCAGACAAATACTGCACAAACAGATTCGACATTTTCACGTCTGAAAAGTTTGAATTATTGAATTTAGCCAAGAACGAGCGCACTCAATAAATACGCATAAATGTTGAATGTTAATCAGCGTAAAATCTGCTAAGTTGACTGAATTACAGTGACATTATCGAAAGGTGTCGTAACATAAACCGTTGACAATTTGTCTTTATGCCTCTGTAACAATTAAAACAGAACAGTCAGAGCCTTTTTGGACGTAATGATAGGACGTCTCTACTTGATTACTCCGTTTATCTTCGGGTGAAAGCTTCCATTCGACGATATGTAAACTGAGTCGTCCATCTGTCGCATCAAAATATTCATATTTATTCTTGGCGCGTCTTCAGCGTTGGGCTTTGAGACCAATCACTGAATTTTCTCCTCAGGAAATTTAATACACACCGCCTGATGTCTTTTAAAATGTTGGCTTTGAATTACTCAATTAGGAATTTGAATAGGCTCTTGATTAGTATTTACTTCCAAGTATATTATTGTTTGCAGCGAAAGCAGAATTGTTTTGCAAATAATGGAAACCAGTCAGAGACTAATAAAAATTGTTTAATTTGCATTTTCCTAAAGGAATTATTCACGTGCTTTAAAAGACACCGGATCTTGTGAAAATCACGTTGAAGTGCAGCTCACGGATCATTTGATAGTCGCCAAGCATGACAGGAAGTCATAAATAACGCAAAATTGGAGGAAGTAATTAGTAAATCATCGTAATATCGGGACTAATTACTTACAATTTTGGTATTGATTTTACAAACTTTGTGCCGATGGCTGTTACCGTTATAGATAGCTATCGTGACACATAGCCATTTTCGACGTTCTTATTTTCTTTCACATTGGCGTTGAAAGGAAAATGTATTTTCATAGGCACTTTTATCGGCAAAAGTATCACACAATATAGTTATAATTTTTAAAAATCTGAATTATTTAGTACGAGTATGTTTAGGGAAACATAAGCACTTACCCGTCAATATCAGTCGGTTTAAAATCGCCCTTCCCTAAAAAAAGAAAAGCCAAGATTATTTTAAATAAAATTATGAAAATGGGAATACTAATTAGTTTTACACCTAACTTAGGTAAAAAGTTATTTTTTTATTAGATTTCAAAAAATTAATTATACATTATTAAAACTAATGCCATTAATAAGTATGGAACTAAGCGATTTTCGAAAATTGTATAGAAAAAAGTTAAAAAAGTTAGTGATCAGAGAACTACTATAAAATTTGAAAAATAATTTTCAATATTTCTGCAGTTTTTAATTTTTATTTAATAATAATTTACCTTATGCTGTTTTTTGAGAAAAGTCTTGTTTTACAACTCGTAAGTGTCTAAACTGAATAATTATAAATATAATTGTTACTCCAAATCGGTCAACTTTTTGTTTGATTTTAAAATAGTTTTTTCAGAAAGTGAATAGTTTAAGCAGACAACGATTGGGTTCCATACTTTTTCCGGAATCACATAGAGCAAAGTTATTTAACCTTTCGAGCTAACTCAACACAAATTTAAATTGACAATTTAAAAAAGATTTAAAAAAATTATAAAATATGCAGAAATATTATTTAAAAATATGTTTTATTTCTTTTTGCCTATATGAATCTCGACATGTACATATTTGACGATAGAAAATTGTTTATTTTTCATCCCGCATTTATTGTGTTTGTCGTATTATTCTACCTGGGCGAACAAGGAAAGTTGTAATTATTTTTCCACCTAAAAAATTTATTTCATTTATTCTTGCTTTTTTCTCGTTCTCTTATTTGTTTTTGCAAAGTTGTGTTTTAAAGCACGACATTTTTGATTAAATAAATCAAGTTGATAAATACAGACCGAATTCCGCGCTTAATTAAGTGCAAAAAAACTCGCTTTTAACTTATTTATCTGCAAGCAAAATATAAAATAATTCTTTTCATTAAACAACAATGTGCACAATCTTTTTTTCTATTTTGTCATTTAATGAAGTGCATTCCTATAGTTTATATTGAGTAAAATGAAGCTTCCGACTATTTCAAAAGCAGTTCATAAAATGGAATAACAAAAGTTATGCGCACACTGAAAGTAAATAAATCGTATTGTCGCGATGCACTTCATTCATATTTAACCTTAAAAAAAACGCACAAGTTCATTAAGTACGCACAATAACACTCGTTCTCATAGCAGCTATTTTTTAAGTAACGCGTCATTGTTGTTCTAAATGAAAATTTTGATTTCTATGGTTAATTTAAATATATTTCAAATAAATAATTTGTGGAAAGCTCGTCAATGTAAATCAACAAAAAGAAATTCGTAATAACTCTCTTTAGTCAATATCAAAAGATTATGAAAGTGCATAATTACTCATCTCTTGATGTTAACGTTACAATACATCAAAGGTTTTTTTAAGCACTAATGGCGGCAATACTAGCACTGTTCATTACGCCGCCTCGTGCCACTTTTACGCCAACAAAAACAATGGAAAACACGTTTTTCTCATTTAAAGTGTCAAAATGATTTATTTTCATTATGATGTGAATATTCATTATTAAATAACTTCAAAACGATGGTTTCCGCAATAAAAAGGATGTGCTAACCATTCAAGAATCTTTAAAATTCATCAGGTTCAAGAGATTAAAAGCCGCCAAACAATAGTTTAATAGTACAAATTCTATCTAAAATTCTGTAACTTATTTTATAATGAAAACTTAAAGGGAGAACACTTTAAAGTTTTATTCCTTAAGTGCAATGTTGGTGATATAATTCTGGTGGATGCGCCGGGATAGCAACTTGAGTAAATTGTGAATTAATAGACATTTAAAACTTTATTACACTATCTTTATAAATTTATTATAAACATAGTTTAAACGGCGCAAATTGTTGTGACGTTATTACATTTAATCTTCGTTCTGCGTTTATCAAAGAACATAAATTACATTTTGAATGATTACTTTTGGTCACAAAATATACAGTAAAACATATTTCATCACATCTGAGATTTCGTTAAAAAAAAACTTTAATAAATTTTAATTTCAAGCCGAGTGAGCAAATATGCTTGTATAGAGTAATAATTTGTTTCTTTCCGCTTTATCCCAAATTGCACCGGTTAGAAAATTGTACTACAATAACCATTGGTTATGCTTAGTTTTCCTGTTTCCCAAATTGAATATAAGATAGCTAAAGTGTGGATAGTTTCGCGCAAGGTATCTACTGAGCAACAATTTATGTCGAACCATAAAGTAACTTATATTGCGGAGACATTGTAGAAAACATCTGTATCTTATATCTTTACGATTTATTTTACACAGAATCAATAAACGAGTTAAACCGTCACTGCCCTAAAGAACAAAAGATATATAAAAGAAACAATATAAACTTGCGGGAGGTTTCAGCTCATAAGCGTTATCTTTGTTATAGAGGCCTAGCACAAGAGCCGTCTTTCGTAAAAAAATACGTGAATATGTCTTTTTTATGAGGAGAGATAAGATTCTTGTTCGGCAAAAGTCTTATGTACTATTGTAAAAGGTGACAAACTTACGGGCGAAGCAGCATTTTTCGGTACGGACGGCATATACACACCCACATACGAGTAGAAGGAAAGTTACGAGGAGCCCTCCTGTCAAACTGACAAGTGTACTCATTTGCAAGGGTTCTGGAACAAAAAAAGACATAAATTTTATCAAAAGGTAGAATTAATTTTGGGGAGTAATTCACTAATGGAGGTCAACGAGTCATTTTTCAAACAAAAAATATAAATTCAACAAACTAACAAATTATAATCTACGCTGCAAATTTGTATTAAATATTTACTCCGATTTGGATTTGTTATTTCAGTTGCGTGTTCGTGGCGTAAACATTTTCGGATTTTTGTTTTAAAATATTTCATTCCAGCAATTTTCGTTGTTGAAATTTTAAGCTGCAGTTTAAAAAATTATTCGCATGGTTTCAATCAGTAAAAAACTTTATTCTTGACTTCAATTTTTTTCCATTTCGAACACTCAGAGACAGGTTTTGCTCTAATTTCAATTTGCAGTCCTACTTTCATTATTCAAATATGGCAATAGAGACTTTTTAAGATAATGATAATACGTATACCTTCTGGAGACATTTAATTAAAGCCAGTTCTTAACTTCAATACTCGCAATTTCGAATAAATTTTATACGGCACCACTCATAATTAAACTATGCCTTAGGGGTTTCCAGCATTTTGCAGCGTCGGCTAATTGAATGGATTTAATATATTCTATTTAGACTGATTTATGAGACTGATTTAATGCCGTTATATTTTCATATAATCGAAACGTCAAATTTAATTTAATTACAGCGAAAATCGATTTCACCTAATCATGAGTTTGCAAATGGCTGTTTCCGAACTTACCGTTAACGAAGAGTTGGATTGCATGTCGATCAGTTCCTCGATCATTTTCTACAGCTAGATAATACGCTCTCGAATCAGTCGCTGAAGCATCTTTGATGTGCAAAGTCGCTAAGTAGCAGTCTTCGCGATCTTCCTGGACCACCTCGTCTACCTTATAACGGCCTAAAAAAAAACAACAAATAGTTTTGGCATTCCATAAAAAAACTAGAAACACTTGTCTTGACTTGCAACCATGTAAATAATTATTAGCTTTCATTTGTAGAATTGTCATATCAAGAAACCAAAAGTAAAATTAATCTGTAACTGATATTTTTGATATTGTATAAAAGAATTACAGTTTCCAATAAGAGACGTTATTAAAAAATATTTAAACAAATATCATTGTTGAAGAAAATCCAATAATAGTATATTTACAACCTACTGGAAAATATTTTATTACTCAGAGGTGCAGCCTCGAGGTCAGATAAAGAAAGTAATGAAATTCTCACCAAAGTGTTATTTTATTCACAATCACGTTTAAATAATAAAATATCGGTTTTTCTAAGGAAGTTGATTCACCTGTCAAGTTTAATTTTTTTTCAAAGAAAACATTTTTAAGAAAATGTTTGTAAACAATGAAAATCAGGCTATTTGGCAAAATCTACTCCTCTTTGTTTAAAACAATTAAACAATTAAACTCACTAAAGCAGTGATTTGTGAAAAACTTTTATGAAAAAAAGCTGCAAAGGGTATATGCTGACACTAAAGAGTTAGCAGTGGAAACGTCCTCTAAAACCTCTAAAACCAATTGTCTTGAATCATTATACAGGGTTATCAATATTATTATAAAACTAAAAAAGTAGAGTATTCAATTTGTGGAAAAAATTATTTTTGTGAATACCGGTTCAAAAATACTCATTGTAAACCTTTTACTTTTCGTTTACAAAATTCTGAAGAATTTTATTAAATCATATTTTAAATTTTTATGCTGCTAAATAATTAACATTACAAGTACATTTTGGATATCGTTTTTTATTTTGGATTTATGAAAACAAGATTTCTCTTGAAGATTGTTGGTTTGAGTATTATGACATTATGAGCTATGACGTTCTCAAATCTCTTAACTAAACAGTAAATGACTTAATACTTTGCAGCATTCTTCCAATAACCGTAGGAACATATTGGATACTTAAATGAAATGACGGTTCGTAAAAGCAGAGTGTTCGTAGTTCAACCGGAAAATGAAGCTTTCTACAGCGTACACGAGAACTGTCTATAGAATAAATACAAGAAAACAACATAAAAATATAAAAGTTTTGGCAAATATTTGTTTTTCTACATAATTTCATCAATAATTGACAGTAAAGTAGACGAGAAGCCCGATGAGTTAAGATGTAAGAAATATAAAACTTCGAGAAATATTAAAAAAGTTTTTGCACATCATCTTCCCTGTAATATATTTATCAAAAAAGTTTGAAAGGGTTATCCAACTTTAAAAAAATTGTGCGTGTTATAAAAGTTTTATTCATTAGATACTGAAAAACACAGGCTTTATTCCTAGGCGCGTTACTCATATCGCAAATTATTTGTGGGTGTTACTTATCCTGAGTATTATCCCAATCGGAAATCCTCAAGGCAAATATTTCATTATTTGATTCGGATTTCCTGCAGTGTTCTCTGATTTATTAGGTAAAATTTCGAACAACGAACGTTCGATATCGTGTGTGGTTAGGACAATATGGTGTGCGATTTCACAATGCAGGTGTTGCGATAAAATTTCCTAAATTGTCCGCACACTCATAATATTCACCCCAAAGATATTCGGATCTGATGAAAACTCCTATTTTTAGAATGTCGCAAAGAAAACTCAAATAAAAAGTTGCCGACATTGTTTAAGAAATCACGTAATTTCTTGTTTGTCATCTGCTTATATTAAAAAGTTAAAGTGAAAAGACATAGATTCTACTTTCAGTGACATCCGATTTATTTTTTTATATAAACAGAAAAATATGTTGTAACATGAACCAAATTAAACTTTCAAAAATAAGCACTTAATATGAAATGTCAAGAGTCGCGCGCAAATGCCGAAAATTGCAAAACAGACACTGAAACTGATATTGCTTTAGTGGGAATTTATTTCACGTACGGGTCGTGAGCTAATTCTACATCAAGGATCAATTTGCAATAACCGTAACAAAGAACAAAGATTAAAATTCAAATACGTTGTAACTGTTGTTGAGCATTTCATTGAAACCTCTTTGAAAGTTAAACATATCATTATTAAACAAAAAGATATTTTAACTTTAGTTCTACAATTACACGATTCAATTACTACACTTAAAATGTAATTATTTAACATAGCAGGTCTCTGCGTATTCACTTAATTTAATATGAGACGAGTTGATGTCCCTTTTGAGTTGTTGATAACAGAAATGGGTGAAGCTAGTGACAAATTATATGGTATCCTGTTCCACATCAACCCACATTTCATATTAATCAATGAAAGGACTCTACGATGAATAGAAATGTGACCTAGAATAAATTAAAATTTACTTCATAGGTAAATGGAAAATGAGGTCATAGTGAAACCTAGATCAAGCTGTACAAAAGAGAGTTTTATTACGGAAAAACGTGAATAAAATCCAATCTTTATGAAACTTCAGGAATCTGTTGCAGAATTGTCTAGTTTTTTGGAAGCTTATTGAACTAAAGTGTGTGTAGACAACGACAAAAATGTCGAAGCAGAATTTGATCTGCGTGTAAGTGTTCAACAAAAGTTAATGCAATGACGTAGTTGCCATGCAAATAACATTTGATGGGCTAGAAACGATGGTAATTTTACACAAATTACTTCCCAACCAAGAGATGGAACGTCGTTTTCTATGATCTATAAAATTACTATTACTATAATGAATGTGATTAAAATGCATTATTTACTTTTTCTTACATGATCTAATATAGCACATTGTATCCTTAAAATGTTAATGTCAAGATTGTGAACATCCTGTATTTTAGTGATACATATTTATGTGAGAGCTAAATTCCTTTGTTGCTAAGATTACTGAAATGAAAGCACAGGTCTTTGAAGTTTTTCTGTCACAGCTGGTGTTTGTTTGTCATGATGTCTTAAAAGAACATTACCATAACCCTATAAAAAGGTTTTTCCAGAGTAGATCAGAAATCGACAAGAAGTTTGTAGTCAAGATTATTAGAAATCGTAAGGTTACGGTCTCCGTCAACAGACTCAAGGAAGCTTATAACGGATATCCACACTGCCAACGACGTCGGCAGTCATCAAGAAAATACCGGCAACCACTATCGCACAAGATCAAGCAGAAGCGTTCCTTTCCCAGACCTTAAACGAGTACGGAAGTGGGCCTTCCGTGATTATGAGAATCACTGGCGTCATTGCCTTTAATGCTTTGTATTACTGCTATAAAAGCTTTCTTTTCCAGAGAATGTTTTAAGCAAGATCAAATGTAAAAATATAAAACAGAAACTATTATTGCTGATGAACCAAATTTTAACTAAAAACTTCAATTATTGTGGTTGAGAAATAGCATTATTCATTAGAAAAATTGTAGGTAGTTTTTTAACCATGATTTGTTTCGAGGAATATTAAAAAAATGTATAGAAATCTGATAAGTTATGTCAAAGTTTTTGTATAGGCATTTCTTAGGTAGAATTGTGAGTTCGGAATTGCCCTGTGATATCTAAACAGGCTGAATCCGGTGTTATCTGATTCCAGAAATTCGTCCTCTTCATAAATATGACGCGTTCAACTTTGTCGGTGGTTTAGGGGCAAAGTTATAAAAGCATGTGTGGGATTACAGTGTATTTCCCACTTCTTAGGATCTAAACGACCTTCTATAACTTTATCTGCCGTTGATCGTCCCTCTTATTGCAGTTCGACTACGCTAACATTTCACATAACAGTACAAAATAATTTACTTAATTCTTGATTAAAAATTTATTATGTATGAGAGTTTCAAAAGACTTCAATTTTTAAATGAATATAGATAGATAACGCTCGGTTCATAAATGCAAAGTCAATATTTAAAGCTAATCTCCGGATATACTAATTTGGATGGATATGCAAGCCTTTGATGATAACTTTATTAGGTACTACGTGCTATAAAACTTACATTTTAAACAGACTTCCAAATGATATTTTATACGTGATTACAATGTTCTATATAGAGTTACGAAATAAAGCTTTATATCAGTGCTTTCTTTTCTTACCCATCTCCGACCCAGCTTCCAGGCGAAGCGATCCCCATTCCCAAGCAACTATTCGAGGCCTGGGATCGGCACAAACTACCATGCTAAGATCCGCAAGCTGGCCCTTCTCCACGAACACTTCTGGTGTCGCTGATTGTCGTAATACTTGAGGTGCGCCTAGAAACAGTTTGAACCAAAATTCATTTAAAGCTTGCTACGATCATGAAAATTAAGGGTTCTGGTACTATAATCTTAATTGTCGGATTACTGAAACATTTTAGGCAATATAAAGTGGTTATATCCAATCTAAATTCATCTAAAACCATTTGTAACAGCTTTGCAAGAATAACAGATTTGGGTATACAATGTTTTTATATGTTTTAGACGTTAAAACATTGTAGAAGTTTAAAAAACACAGGGTGATTTTAACAGTTTTGCAGAAATTTTAAGAGGTAATAGTAAAAAACAAAAGATGCCCTATCTGAATACAGTTTCTGGAATATCAACTGTCATCGACTATTAGTAATGTAAACTTTGGAAAAATTGGAAATTTCGTCTGTATTGCACTTTTTTGACGAATTTTATGATCCTGAAATTGAAGTTGCATTTTATATACTACAGAAACTATAAATATTTGGATAACGCAAGTTAAGCTATTTGCATTTTTTAGACATGTACTATTATTATTAAAATTAGCTTGTATGTGAATAAAAAAGCAAACACTGATTTCAATTGAAAGAAGAGATTGCATCTAAAAAGAGAAAATTAAATGAAAACAAATTAACAATTTGTCTAATAAATTTTTTTTTTAAGTACAATATGCAGTGTTGTTCAAATGCTATAAAAATAATTGTCTCAATACTTGTTTAAAAAGCATAAGGAGTTTTAATTATTGAAATATCTAGTAGTTTAAAGAAACAATTAATGAAACTAAAGATATTTTTAGCTTTTTATGAAAAAATACAACTTTGAACATTTAAATTTAAAGCTACGTTCTCTGTATTTTTTTTTTAATAATGTTGCTAAATATTGCGAAAACTCTTTTAAAAATGTAGCTTTCACTAATAAGATTATTCTCTGCGAATTACATATTATTATTACTTTTCTTAGAGTTTATTAAAATTATAGACCGGAAAAGTATTAATTGAGACAGCCAATAATAAAATGTTATAATAAAGTTTTAAGGCTGGTTTTAGTAACTGAGAAGCGATTTTTGGAAACATGTTACCTACCTACTTTGGCAACCATCAGACAGTTAAAATATAAGTAAAAAGTAAAATTTAATCGTACCAGAAATTAAGCATAGTAAGTTTTTTAGTACGTGTATGCTTTATCGGTGTGAAAAAATGGTGGATGCGCCGGACTAATAAGAATTTTTATTTTATGTAATATTGTAAAAGTATGTAATCCTAAATTTTAATATGCTTTTTGGTAACTTAATACCCTTTTTTAACTAATTAAAAATATAAATATTTTTTAGTTTTAGTTTTTTTTAATTAAATATTAAAATTATCTCCTTTATTATAATTGTTGTAAGTACATTTTAATTTGGTTTCCACTGAGTTGTGTACACAACGTTCTATATAAAGACATGTGTATAGTATTCAATACGTATACAAAGTATTTTGTAGTTTAGTGTTTTTTTTTACGAAATTTTTAAATCTCACACTGTCTGGACATTTCTTCAATAAAAATAAAATAACTTTTACTTAAAGGCTTGTACGTCATTGTTTTTTTTTTAATATACTGATACTCTTAGTAAATTAACTGTAAATTATTTTTCTACGACTCTAATATCAGTTTTTCCAGTATAATTTCAAAGAGAAAAGTAGCTAATTACCTACCTCAACTATCAAAATTACACTTGGAAAGATACACTTTCCTTTCTTGTAATACAAATAACTATTAGTTATTTTACTTAACTTTGGTTATTAGCAAATAGATTTTAAAATATTAAAACGTCAGCATTTAAAAATAAAAAATAGTTTAAAAAATCTTAGTTTGCTTTTAAATGATAAAATTTCTAATACATCGTAGAGTTAAACTAGAGGATGTAAACCAGTTAACGTGCGCGTAGTCTAAACTCAACATCTTAATCTCATATATTGTTAGTTCAACCACTTTAGCATTACAAAAAATTAATTAGAAACTCAAAGTTTTAACGGAGTTTTAGGATTCAATGGTAGGGCAAGTGTCATCATCCATTTTTAATGTACAAGAAAATTTCAGTTAGTATGTAAATTAGTTGTTCATAAGTCTGTTATTTCTATGCGGTAAATGCTTGATTAAGTTTCTGACCCTTAATCTATAATTTAAGAAGCAAAAACAAGAGATACTGCAGCTGTTTAAAGAAAAAGAAAAAAAAATAATTTGGTGGCAAGGTATATATTTTAAAAACATTGTCAAAATTACTCATTTATGATTTATAATTTTCAATTTTTAAATAATTTTGTAATTATTATCATCAGATGCTTCGTTGATGCAAATCTAGGTAGTTTAGTTCTAAACGTTATTCAGTAGTAACACTTTAAAACCGAATGATTCACTGACCAAAGCACTAAAAAGAAACTACAAATAAATGCTCCTCGACTTCGGGCGTTTCTTGTGATGTCGATGAATTTTGGCAACTTCATTGTTTTACAAATCCCACATGACGTATTAAATATTTGTTTATAAATCGTTGTTGCTTTCAGTTGTAGATTTTTGACGTCGTATAGACGTTTCAGAAATGAAAACAAATTTAATTTGAAACTGTAAATTGCTTTGTTCCATTTCCGATTGAAAACACTCGTAAATCTTGCAACAATACGTGTGGCCTTTATTATAAATTGCGGTTTGAATTATTATTCCTATAATATTGGTAGTACGAATTGCGAAGTGTTTATATTCCATTACGCGTCTGTAGGCTGACAAGAAACGTAATGTAGTGACAATGCGACGTGACAATAAGTAAAACACTAGTATCTTTCATCATTTTTCATAACGGCACTAAACATAAATATATAAACTTTGTGAGGCCTTATTGTTGGGAAGAAAATCGATTCTGGGTGGGAATACAATAGTATCATTTTAGTAATAAACTGATAAAATATGGAAGTTAGCGAATAGAGGATACACCGCGAATTTACACATTTGCACATCGATATCCAATTTAGGAATAAAGGTATTGAACAGAAAACCACGTATTGCCTGAATAAATTACCCGCCCACGGTCTCAACATATATACACAGTCTGGTTGCGCCTCCGCCTCTTTGCGGCAATAAAGACACGGAATATTCCTGGTGAATTGTGCCGATGTATGTTTGCTAATAGCGAAACAGAAAATAGAGAAATCAAATAAAAATCGAATCGTATGTTTCAAAATTTACTTTATTTTGCATAAGAAAATGTATCCCAATTTTCAAAGCTTTGAATCAGACTTTACAAACGACGGAATCTTTGATCAAAGCCATATCTTGTCTCAAATAGTTACTTTTTGATTTTTGCATTATTGTAAAATTGATCTTTCTTTCACAGTTTACATTAATTCAAATTGATAACAAATGTGACAGTTTTTGTGATTCTAGTTCCGTATGGTGGCACCAAAAATTTCCGTTGGGATTTTCCAGGCTTATATTTTAATTATCTGAGTATTTGCCGTTCTTGTCAGAATCCCGACGGAAAAAGAAATTGGTTGGCGTATAATTGAAATTCATCATGGAAAAGTCGCAAGACGAGTAAACTGGATGTTAGTAATCCCAACGTCTTCGTTTTAAAGTAAGTACTTGACGGTAATTACAGCCAAATAAAGGAGTGCTTGCTAGAAGATGTGTTTCAATCTTAAACAAGTTCAAGTAACTGACAATCTAGTTAAAATCGATCCGAGATTTGAACAGTTTCTCACACTTTCAGTCTGCGAAAGTATGTTTTATTGGACGTGTACACCAACAGCTGTCTTTCCGTTAATTGAGTTTAATTTGTTTGTTCTTTACCAAACTTTTGTACCACATTTAATTTGTTGAAGAAAATATAAAATGCCAGCACAAAATAAAGTGGCGACAGGATTTGAGATAATTGCTTTCACCTATCACATAAATGTATTTTTTTAAATAAAACCGCTTTTTAGAATATGACTTGGTTTTTAATTTACTTTTCCTGTTTTTTTATTTAAAACACAATGCATGTTTTCTTCTCATTTTGCATGTGTACTTAGATTACGCTGAATATACAGAATGGCCGGAAAGTCGTGCACCTCCTTGAAAAGGAGTAATTGGGTAGTCCCCCAGAGTACCGAAAAAATGTTTAAAAATTCTATCTGTCAAAAAATTTTGACATTTATTTTTTGTCATTTGACTTTTTTATTTCTATTTAAAGATATTGGTAATATTGTATGTGTTTTATAGTTATTTAGTAAAGGTATAAAAATTTTGCCAATAAAAGCCACAAATAACATTAGAGTTACAATTTAGGATACAGCTTCTTTGTTTCCTCTTCTAATAGCCTCTAGCAAAAAAACTTTGTAAATTATTTTTCTAACAGAAATAAATATAGTCAAAGTGCAAAATTTAAACTCTTATAACTTCGAATATTTTATAGATAGATTTTTTTTAAATATGTCTCTTGTTGTCTAGGACATCGCCCGATGATACAGTATCACAGAGGTGCGCGACTTTCCGGACATTCTTGTATTTGTTTTATTACAAAAAGGTAGATTTAATTTTAAAACTGTTTTGAGAAACATTAGTATCAAGAGAAAAAACTGGATTCAGATGATTTACTAAAACAAACTACTCGTAAAATACTCGTACTAGTCGTACTTACTGTATAGAAGTTGTCAAAAGACTATGTAAATACGATAGGTATATAAAAGCGTTAAAATAAAATTTTTATTGCATTTAAATATGTTTTAGTATTAACAGGATTACAAATTAATTACTTACCATGGACTTGCAAAATGATTGGCTCACTGAGTTCAGACCTTTCCTCCCCCTTAATAATGTTAGTAACTTTACACCTGTATTCCCCTTGGTAGTCGTAAGTGACATTGGCTATGTACAGTTTCGCATCCCTTCCCCTTTCTTCAACTCGATTGAAAGGTGTTGGCAATTTCTGCAACCACTTATATGTGGGTTGGGGATTTCCTTCTCCTAAACACTCGAATGTGGCTGGCGAAAATAATGTTACAGTCTTGACTCTTTCCCGTCCGATGCTGATGATTTTTGGAGGGTCTGCAACATCAAACAAAAAGCACGAAATAAAAACTCGCAGAGAGGTTTGCTGTCTCGCGTAATAATGCACCACAAAGGGAACAGATTAAAACCGCATTTACACACAAACGTCAAAATCAGTTAATATCGATTCGTGTAAGTGTTACATCAAGCGAAAGAGCGAGATGGAGGCAACACATCTTCTTGGCGCTCAGTTGTGGTTGCACATAATCTTATATGAATTAGGACAGCATCCGGCGAAGTTTGGAGATTAGTAAATCTGTAGTTCGGATGTAATTTGTTCGTTAATTAGGGAAGCTAATTTGATAAGTGCAAACGCCATGTTGGTTTAGGACCAACTGGATGTTCCATTTAAATCGCCGGAATCTACAGATGGTACCTGCCTTTGTTGTTTAGATGGTCACCTTAACTTCGCTTTGAGTGACTTAATAGACCCACAAGTACCCGTTTAGGTGCGTAACCTAATCTTCTTGACTTACTCTCAATTATGAAAGGATTCCTTTTATAAACATACAAAAACTAAAATATTATTCAAATTTAATTAAGACTAATATAAATTTATTAACGTGTAAATGTACAATCAGGTGTGCTTAAACTTTTTCAGAATAAATTTCGTTTTTGGAAATAAATACTACGTATGTATGAAACGTAATTTGTGTACATTGCATACATTAAAGAACAAACACAATGAAAATGTGAACAGTTTAACATTTGCTCTAAAATATTGCTGATGGTTGTAATTTGAATGCAGTTATACATTTTTTTTAGACAATTCGTGTAACTTTATAAAAAACTGTACAATTTATTAAACACAAAATAAACAACAATATTCCGGATTTTTCGTTTTCCTTACATGTTTAAAATAGACGTTTAAATAGATATTACGATTTAATTGGTTGTTTACCACGATGTTTTGATATTTACAATTCCATTCATATACACACCTACAAACGACTGAACAAATGTTATCAAGTGATTAATCACAACATTAAAACAAATAACTAACTATTTTGACTTTCTGTTAATTTAATAATAATTGCTTGATAAACAGTATATTCTGTTATGAAACGTAATCAATATATTTAACGAGTAACTAGCAAAATGTTTGAGAAAGATAAAGAGAAATGATAGGTACGAGTATAATTTAATGTTTCTATAAAACGATTTTTTGAAAAAAATCCACTTTTAAAAATGCCAAGAAAGAAAATTTCACATTTGTTACTCTCGAATAAAAAATACACGTATACAATAAATGTTTTTTTTCCAAATCAGATGTTAAAGTGTGCGTTGATCAACTAAAATCAAAAGGTCAGGTAATATTTTAACCGCAAAGGTGGATAATAGTGCATTATATTATAAGTGATAGAAATGCATCATTATACGCGAGTGAGAATTTTGACCAATGAGCTTGCTCACGAGTGGGACACTTCTCACGAGTTTCATAATGGCATTTCGATCACGTGTGATATACGACGTTTTATCTTACAGGTGCAACTATCCAAAAAATGAAGTTTCATTCAAGTAAAATATTCACCTATAAAAATATAATAGTAAATATAATATAATAGTCAGTAGTATCTCACTTGTGAGTACTTTATCTCACATGTGAATAATATTTGATTTCTATCACCGAAAACAATGGTCTACGGTAGCTCAAAAACTCAACTTATAAGATAAAGTATTTTTTTACAAATAAATGTCAAATAAAAGTCAAACCTGACACAATTAGTAATAATTTTTACAGTTTTTAATAATAAAATACACAAATGATATAGAAAAAACAAAATATTATACACGATGATAAAGATTGTTTATCAACTCTGAACTCGTGAACCAAAGTTTTTCACTTGTAGATAAACAGTTTCTTTATCGTCTTGTATGTATACTATCTATGATATGATAATAATTATAATTTGTTTATATTTTATAAATTGTTTATATCAAAATGTAATATTTTTTTTAATTAATGTTTATCTAAGAGTACATAATTGACTGCATAAAGTTATTAAAGTGTTATAAATATTGTCATATTCAGTTAATGGTTTTTCGTGCCTTGATGAAATGATTTGAAATTAATTGCAGCACACACTTTAAACAGCTTTTTTAATTCTGTTGCCCTCTGGGTTTCGTGTTGTAATTAAACTAAACAATAAAGAACATGTCATTTATATTCGCATTTCATTCACAATAAATTAAAACGTGTGCACGATATGTCAGAAATTGGATATTAGTGGCGTCGTTTTCACACAATCATAATAATGTTTCCCAGTTAGCTTGTTAATAGAATTTCCTTTTTCAATGCTTTTTGCCTAGTATTTCTTTTACGTTTATTTTATCTGACAGGAATAGATTTAAGCAATCCTTGTGTAAAAAGGTTTCCGTGAGGCATTTAGAATTCTTTTTTAGATGGTTTGGATTCATTCTTGATGCAAACGTTCCATTTCCCTTAAAAAATCCGTAAAAACCTCTATCTACATTGTAACAGAACAGATAAATGAGTCTGGAGGAAAAATCTATTGGAGTAATTATGAACGAAATTGTCGTGCATTTGTTTGTTGTGAAAATATGGCGAAAGCTGTGTTAATATTTGCATTGTTTTATCGCTGGACGTTAAAAGGACGTAAATTTTTTTAGGCTGAAGTTTTATGTGCGCGCTTTACGCCTCCGGTAATTAACACATTGACGCAAAAAGTTGAGGATGTCCTGCAATAAAGCGTTCAAAAGACATTATAATTTTTATTAAGCTCGAAATAGGGAAGATGGCGATAGATTCTGGAAAGGTCGTAGAGACGAAGCAATATAACTAGCTCAGCCTGTGTGTTTCATTATGAAATCCGTCGGCAACCGCGAAAGTATAGGTAGCAGATGTCACCTGTACAATCATCCAGAAACTTCGTGAACGAGGGTTGCTTCTAATTAGTTAAACAAACGTTTGGATGATCCTCTACATTCTTGTTAGCAAGATTAAACCTACAAGCAGGTGCCACGTACACATACAATGTTGTCCATGGAGCCATTGTGTGTCGTATTTTTATACCAACCTAATTAGGCTAATTAAACGGACACGACGGGGTGTTTCGAGAGCGAAATGGAAGGAGCATCGCGCCGTATTGACTTAGAGAAAAGGAAAAATAAAACTGTTGTTTCAACGCGGCTTTACAAACCAAACATGTGAGAGAAAGAGCTTTGTTGGCGTTGTTTTCGATTGTTTGGTTCGGAGATACCGCCGGCCTCGGTATGTGGAGTTAAGATGTTTACTTGTTGGGGAAGGTAAACAGCTAATGACAATTGCAAATATCCTATTTGCATACAAATTTCCGATAATAGGAAGACGCGGGTGCAGCAAATTATAGTCAATTTCAAAGTTAAATTGTTCGAAAACTATTAAACCGGGAAATGTAGTCGCATAACCATATAGATGCTTCCGAATTCACGCATCTACAAGTTTAAAACTGTGGATGCGAAAGTTTACTACGCTTCGAGTTAATAATATTTTCTTTTCTTCTAACATTTAAAATAATGAAAAACTACTGTTACATACATGTACACATGTACACATAAAAAGCATAAATTGCAAAAAGTGTATTCTGGAAATAAATCATTTTCTTAAAACAACTTACTTTTATATCTGATTATACATATTTTTGCAATTTACAATTATTTATACAAATAACATAAAGTGTTCATAAAGTTTTTCAATACAAAAATTCAACCTAAAACGATTTTTTCTAAAGAGTAGATTCTACACATTCTTACTTTGCTATTTTTTTAAATTTAATCCAGCTCTTGTTTACTAAATGCTAGTCTTAAGTACGCAGCAACAGCATGATGAAACTTACAAGGAAATGTTCTTTGCAGCAGTAGATTGTATGGTTTACCGACGACCATAAAACATGTCTTATGTTGACAACACTCTCTTATAAACTAAGCTGCTATAAATTAAAAAATGTAAAACGCTATTTTCATTTTAATAAGAAAAGTATACTTGTATAGACAAGAATGGAGAGAAACAATCTACTTAAAACTTCGTCTTATGTGTAACAATATAATCTATCCAACTTCAAACAACGTTTTCTTCAATCATAACTAAGTGTCTAGTTTGTTATTTGAGAGAAATCCTGCGTACGTGGTGCGTTCAAATTAAGTATAAAAAGGACAATTAGTATATATAACTTTTAATTAGTGCAAAAGTTTTAATAGGGTTTCGTTACTGTAATACAGAAAAGTATTAAAAACTACCTACTCTCATTACTGCTAAAAAGTAAACATGATTAAATTATGTAATAGTTGTAGAAAAATGTATAGTTTGAAATCAAATTTCCTAGATTTGATAGTCAAAAAACTTAAATTGCTTTTAGAAAGACATCTAAAACAATTTGCAATTTCGTAATTTTTATGTTATCAAAGAGAAACAGCAATAATAAGTTATAAACAAATAAAAACTTCTGTGTTTTTCGAAAAATAGAATATTTCATAGGACGTTTGTCAAAATTTAGTAAATTATACTCCAAACATTAATAAAGTTTTGTGAAGATGTGTTTTTCATAAAACTTCAACAACCCTATTGTGCAAAATCCTAAGTGGCATCAATTTCACATCATTTGAACCGTGGGATTAATCCCAAAGACTCATTTAGTGTAATTTTATTCATTGCCACATCTTTTATTAGTAGTAGACATTTTACACGACCCTTGTGTCACTTTAAAAGATAAAATAGAGATTAGGTCACTGTTTAACATTTTCTATGCAGTCGTCTTGCTTTTTATTTGTTGGAAAAGTTTTAACTGATAATAGCGCAACTCAAGTATTTAATCGTAATTTATTGAGAGTACGTTGACAGGAATCAAGATTAGTTAAATCATGAAAGTTTATTGTAGTTATAACCATTATTGCAGAAAAGCCATATTGAGCAGAAATTGGGAACGAGATAAGGAGACAGAATGGTTTAATGTCTCACAACTTAGGTAAATGAGGCACACTACTTGCATAGAGTACATTTAAGTGCGTTGTTTTTAGCGGAAGGCAAGACTATTAAGGTGCCCTCGTATCACTTCGCCCTACAACACCCTATATCAAATAAAACATTAATGTCTAAAGTGCAATGTAATTGTATAAAATATGGACACATTAAAATCCAACGGTCATCTAACTGTGCTGTAAATTAACATTTACGATCGGCTGTAATAAATAAACATGCACTCAAATTTTAATTTGTAGCAAGTACGCCAGTTACAGCAGTCAAAATTGCATAACTGTGTAATTACACTGCACTTATAAAAATTTTATCTCGTGGTCAAATTTTTGTTTTATCAGGTCTGCCAACAGTATACATTTTTTAAATCACTCCAATTATCGGTAAAAATCATTTTGAAAAACTATTTTTTTAGCGAAAATACCAGAGTTTCAAGCCACCAAAAATATGAGATGGCGGCTTTGCAGAATTGTTCATTTTCTATAACTTTTAAAATAAAGCAATTTTTTTTCTAGTACGTATAGAAAGAAGTAGTTGTAAAAATCGTATTATTTTGTTTAAAATATTATTCCTTTTAAAAAAAACTAAAACATGCTTTGTGTATATTTAATTAATCTTGAAATCAGGAAAAATCGAAACCTAGATTGCTTACACAATGCCAATTCGTCGAGTTCTAAACGGTAACCGAATTGATGAACTCCCTACAGTGCCATAAGATGTAATAGGATTGTAAAAATACTGAAACGCACAGACGGTACAACTTGACTTTTAAATTTTGTTAAATTTAATAAAGTCAATGGATTTATAAAGAGTAAAAAGTGTTAGACTCTATTCTAAAAGCTCAAAGGTTTTTTTGATTTTTTTTTCATTCAATGTTCAATATTCTATGACTCCGCTTAGAGAGAACTTTTGTAAATGCTCGATGGTCGTTGAAATAAATAACAGCTTTGTGTGTTTTTTGCTAAAACAGATGGACCATCGGAAGTTTTTAACTATTCCCTTGAGAAAGCGAATTCACCTGTTACACACAATTACTAATGCTTGGGTAGGTAACCTGTATTTTGTTTTTAATTTTGCCAAATGTTCACAACAAGCCATGTGTTAATAATTAATAATAAATAATAGGTCAATGAAAGGTTTAAATTAGTCAAAAACTGAAACATTGTTACTTAAATTTTATTATCTACAGAAATAAAAATATTTTTTAGCGTATCCACTAATTGTTAGTAATAAGAATTTTCCGTATCGGGTATTTAATATAAATGTAAAAATTTTCTGTTTAGGATTTTCTTGAAGTAATTTCTAAACTATACAAATTTCCACAAAAATTACTTAATATTTTATAATGTTTTTATGCGTAAATTGTTTAACAAGTTTTTTAGCCTACGTTTTGAAAAAAGTATGAAACTGTAAATAAATAAAAATATTTCATAGTTTTATTTAAAGATATGGTCATTACAAAAGATAAATTAATACCACAGTTTTCTCGCGAAATGAACTAACAAAACTGTGTACGGTAGAAATTTTACTAATAAAAGACGAATAAATCTAGCTTTTCGCATAATTATGTTAATTACACTTGTAAATTTGTAATGTAGGTATTCAGATATTTTACAAGCTTAAAATATGTATCTAAATAATCTGACGTGGAAAGCAATACTATCCCAGGGCACATTTGTCAGATGATATGTTATCCGCCAATCCAGAGGGCAACATATCACATCCCTTCGTTCGACACCTGCTACCAAAATCAGTTATTTTTCAAAATTGACATAGGCGTACGTATATCTATTATTAGCAAAGAACAAAAGCTTTAAAAATTGCCGCTTCTGATTGTATTTCCATTGACAGCTGCATTCATCTCGTTAACAAAAGTTGGAAACTGCGAGATAAATTTCGGAGAGATTAGCGAAACGGATTTAGAAATAATAAATTACAATTTTAATTAATTGACAAAACGCCAGAGGAATGCAGAGAGAGCATACATGAGAGTGGTTTCATTAAAAAGGAAATACAGCTAGCAGAGGGTTTTGGTAAATAAACCGGTCTAATAAATAACATTGCCAACAAAGGGAGATTTAAAAAAACGGTATTTGTTTTAATAAATAAACACGTAACTGACCCTTTTGATTATTGCAAATAGAGTTAAAACTTTGTAAAGGACTTACATTTGACGTCAACTTGGACCCTAATTGGTTGGGATTCTCCCGCTTTATTCCGGGCCTGACACGTATACAGGCCTGAATGTTGTCTAATGGCAGGACTAAATTGTAATAATTCTTGCAAGCTCGCAGGTTGACTTTGACCTTCTCGTCGCCACACAACAGCGGCTTTTGGATTCGCGCTGACGACACATCGGATGGCTACTGAGTCTTTCAAGTCTTCTATGTCAGTAGTAGGTATTCCCACTAGTCTGGTCTCTGGAACATCTGCAACAAGTCGACATCTTTCAAACTTTCAAAGTAACTAAACGCACACGTTCGTAGAAGATGCTTTATCGACAAATTTTCGATATTAAGTTTTCTTTGTAGTTTCACCCAACTTGAGATTTTCATGTCGTTTTCGTGTCTTTGTCGGAGAAAGTTTTTAGTAAATTTCGAAATGTAAAGTTTGGTTTCCTCAGAGATCAGAAAAACAAAATCTGAACCACATTCTCTTTTTTTATAAACACAAATAAGCTAGTCTAAAGAAAGCTTTACGTGGATTACTTATGTTTTCCATGTTTTAAGACAAATCCAAGATGTTTCAGGCCAATTAATTTAAAGAAAAAATAAAAAAAAACACACAGTCTGTTACAGTTTTTTATAATATTCAATTCTAGATGGGCGACAAAACCGAATAGCATTTATAATCACAATCGAATTGAGTTTTAATAATTTGTACTTATTATTTTTTTTAATAAATACTCGTGTATTACAGGAGTTAATATATTGCGAGAGGAATTAATTTGATTTTTTTTATTTAGATCTGATGCCCTTGAATTGGTATGAGAGGATAAAACATGGAATTCAAGTTTTATTCCTCACTGCGGAATGAATTCACTCCTGGGAAAGATATAACTACCCACACGCAAAACCGTATTCAAATAGATACACGCAATATTCATAAATATAACAATAATTTGAAAAAGATTTACGACTCAAAAATAAACTAATATTTTGCTCATGCATCTCATTTCTGGCCTAAATAGTTGTCAGTCAATAAACTCAAAGTGCATGTTAATCTAAATTTATGTACGGCATTCTTGTTTACGTTTTAACTTAATAACGGGAAATTTAAATATCCTTCAAGAATTTTTACTAAACTATAACTCAACTTAAGAGCCGCAAAAAGTTTCGACATAGTAGTTTCAAAGAAGACTTAGCGACGTTCTTATCACATCAGGAAGGAAATCCTGGACACTTTTTGGCGCATTTGTCGTTTAATTAAAACTTTTTAGTATCTACCTAGTGTATTTAGTTAGCTGTCGTGGATACTACCAACCTTAATTTGAAATGCGATAAACACTTTTTCAACTTTGACATCAAGCTTTCCTAAAGTGCTTACTTTGGCAGAATTTTTTGCCAGCAAATTATCTGTAGAAATATTTTAAGATGTGTAATAAAAACTGTACATAAAAATAAATTGAAAGTGGAATGTGTATGTCAACAAACACTTTAATGGTGGGCTTAAAAAACTAATTAATTAACTGTAATGAAGTTACACTTTAGAATTTGCATTTATTGCGAAATGTGTGCTAGTCTGGAGAATGTGCTCGAAGGGAGCGAATATTGTGTAAATAAAGCAGTGTTTTAAAGCAGAACAATAGCGACTGATTTGGACAAGATAAATTAAAATCCTTTGAATTGGATGTTTGTTTTCGATGAGTTTCTTTACTATTTCCTCCGCCGCATTTGACAGCGAAATTCCGGGCAATCTTTGATTTATTACATCGGAATTTATGTAAATGTGTTTATCACAAATATAAACGGAACTTGTTACTTATTCAGTCAATTCGCATGCCATAAATTAACCGAAAAAATTCATTATTGGCGTGCCTCATCGAAGCGCCAATTTCCACTACGAATCGGAAAATAATTTCGAAAAACAAGCAATTTAAATTCAAAGTAGTTTTTTGATTGATGAAATACTTTTTGCGTTGGGGTGTCGCCTAATCCGGACAGCACCCTTGTCAACGTGTGGCATATTAATCCAGTTTATTCCCTAGTCTCTCCGCCTACGTTATTATTTGTTCAGTGTGTAGAAATTCACGGCTCCGGGTCTCGCATCAATAAATACAATGCCGGAACATTTGTACCGTCAAGAGAGACATCTGTTGATGATGTACCGGATTGTTCCTCAGATTCGTCTTTGTGCAAAATCGGTAACTGAAACTCCTGCCGCCCCCTCAGCTGTCCCTGACTTTGATTTCCGTTATCGCTGTTTACATCGAAGACCACAAAGGACGCGATAAAAACAGATCCGTGGGATAGCCGACCATATTTCCTTCTAAACGTAAATGGATTTATATCAGACATCTACGCTGCCTCATACCGAATGTTTGTCACACAACTGCCTAACACTAATTCAATAAAACCCAATGAACTTGCCTAGCGGCTTTGAAATGAACAATTTACGGGTTAAAGGAGTTATTTCATCATTTCTCACTAAATCAAAAAATTTACCCTTCCGAGTATAGGGAGATTTATATAATTATATCAAGTCATTTTTTCCAGGAAACAATAAAAACATAAGCTACAAAATGTAAGTCCCAAGAAATTTTAAATTATGATAAGAATTACACGAAACTACAATATTGAAGACGTGCTCATGGCACATAGTAATCACTAATCATTAATCAACGGTGGTGGTGCAAAATTTAGATTTATTTTATTTTTATTTTTATTTAATTTACTAGTGGAGAAACTAGTAACTTAACAACCATTAAAATAAAAATGAGGCTGTAGTAACAAAAACAAATTTTGACTACTGGTAATACGTGACTCCTTCATGAAAATACGGAAAATTTCATAATTCCGTATGAAACTCTCTAATCTGAAAATTAAATCCTGCCGAGTGGGGCATGTAATCAGGAATTACCACGTTGATGTTTACATAAAAATTTTCTCCGTTATTTTAAAAAATCAAATAAGCGAGTATTTGATGTTACTGGGCGAAAAATAAACCGCCTGGATGCAGTATAAAATAAATGATTCAAAGGGAGTTAAATAAGAAATGAGGTGAATAATACCGGTGTTAGTAAAATCAGTAGTAGAAAGGCATAAAATTCAAATTGTGTCTTTACGGATACAAATTTAATGGTTAGGATCTCTCAAATCTCTCTAACTACCGTAATATTGCAAGCTCGCTGCTTTCGCGACTTTGCTTTTAAATTGCTAGTTAGTTGTACAACACAGTTTCAAAGCTTTGCATCACAGTTTCATTTTAAAATAAAATCCTATTCAAAGACTTCAAATATTTTAATATATGTCATTACGCCTACTCCAAATATTCACAGGAGGAAAGTATTGAATAAATTATGAAAAGATATTTTGCAAGAACATATGTCATTTTTATTTTGCTGACTTTATTTCCGTTGCCACATGGGGTCACTGATAAAATAAACGGATGTGAAGATTTTCCTGGTCCTTCTTTAAAATCGGAGTTTGGGTGATTTGTCTGTGTATCACAAAACCGATTCTATATCAACAAATTTAATATTTCAAATGTGGGGTTTTGAGTGATTGAAATTTATTGCAATAGTTATTGAATTTATAGGTAAACAAATTTGAAAATATATTCTCAACCGTTTATCTAAGCAATAACATTTTTTATTAAAAAAATATCGCTCGTGTTCTCTATCCCAGCTAAAAAGTTGCCCTTTTCGATATGTATAAAATGTGTAATTATCCACGCTTTGACTTGGTTGAGTGAGTTTAAATGTGTAGGTGTTTCCAAAATCGTAAACGAGGATACCGAATAAAAATCAACGAAAAGTAAATTGAGTAAAAAACTCCATTCATTTGGAAAGCTGAAATATGTTATCCACGTTTACCAAATGATTAACTATTGGTGTTTCAGGGAATTTGATAAAACGTTACCTAATTTGATGTTACGGTTTAAATGAGATAAATGATACTTCAAATTTTAGGATTATAACTATTCCATTCCATTCCATTCACATTGAAAATGCAAACCAATGGCATGATATAGTGCTCTGCATTTTATAAACTGCAAATTCTGTAAAAATTAATTCAATTCAAAATTTAAAAGAAAGAATTTGAGTTGTAATATTAAGTGAAATACTAGTTATTTATTCCCTCATTTATTTTTAAGTTAATACAGAATAGTAGATTAATTAACTAATTACGCTCAAATAAGTGTTTATAAATATAGTTTGAATGCAGTTAGGTGTAATCGAAAACTATGGTTCGTTGAAAGCCTTGTTGGAGTTGGTAATTGTTATTGAAAGGCACGTAATGGAGTATTGACATTTATATTTTTTAGTTAACATGAGTAAAGTATAGGGAGTAATGAAAAACACGCAAAATACAAATTAATAAAAAATTGTGTGGTAGAATTAAAACAACCAGACAAACAATATTTAATTGACATGCTCTGTTTTTATTGTATTTGTGTAATTTCAGTTTTTATGTCTGCCAAATATTTTATCTTTAAATGTAGTAATTTTCCGGCTTTCTTTAGTCCACATTTAATTTATTATGGAATTGAGCTGGCAGCTTTCTTCAGTCTCTGCACGCTCGGTTATGATTTGCTAATATACTAAATTGTTCTCAGTTGTGGTTGTGATATCTGAAATATTGAAATAGGGAAATGTTTGCGTGTTCACGTTGGGATTATTTCTGTAAACGATCTGAATCCATCGATTGAAATGTTTTTTATGCATGACCTGTTTTCTATAATGCTCCGATTTTGAGGATAATTCAATCTCCAGTGCTTTCTCTACTCTCATTTGCAAATGTACAAGATTGAGCCTTGGTGTTTGGTTTGTTTTATGCGAATTTTATTGCGAAGCTTTATATTCATCCTCTTGTATGTACATTTATTATGATTAAACAAGTCAAACAAACAAAAATCCTGGTTGAACAAGTCCGAGCTACGCATACTTCAAATATTTGCCTAATTAAATGAAAGAGTTACCCACAAATATCTATACATTTTGTTCCGCTTTACTCACAACAATTGTAATCATGAAAAGCACTTTGGTGAAGTTATTATTCATAATTACTGAAAGTTGGGTACCTATCTAACTCTGGAATTTAAATAACCAAAACTAGACTAAATTAATGAAGATTACGTCCACTCTGTCTACAAGAAAAATCAAATAGCCATAACAATTTATCAAAAACTAATCTACGAAATTGAAATATTACAAAAATTGGGTTTATTTAAGAAAAAAACATTTCAGAGGTAGCTTTCGACAAGACATTAATCTTTGCATGAACCAATTATGGCTCATTCTGCAAACCGAGATAAATCACTCATGATTCGCAAATTACGGATCAAATTAGAGATTAGTTTGGGTGTAATTACTTAGTGATAGCATTAAATATAATCAAAATACAAGTCCAAAGAGTATTCGTCAAAACATAAATCTTCCTTCGAGTCATGTACAAAAAAGCAATTCCATTTCAATGGAAATCTGCAGCTCACTTTTTTCAAGTTTAGCATTTACTTCAACTCATATCAGCAAAAGCACACTCACATTCTTACAACGTTTACATCACAACATTAAAACGATGCGATTTGTTTGAATCATATTGACTAATTTCATATTTTCATATTGACTAATTTCAGAAGTAGTCGCTGAAAGCTAATTCTTTATCTGAACAGTCTTTAAAGTCTTGACATAATTAGGGCCTTTCAATCAGGTACTATTCAGCTACAAGCAAATTCAGTTCGCGTATAGCTAACGATCTCAAAGCTTTTAAATTATAATTAGAACAAAAAGTACATTCAAACGTCAAACATCTTACAAGAGAAATTAAAAGCAGGAAGGTTCGAATGACTCTTAAAAAGCGGAGAGTGGGCTTAATTTCGTGGGTTTGAAAGCACAGTGTGCCCCTCCTGCCAAATTTTTTGATTTGTTTTTACATAATCAAATATTAATTTTAATTAAACAAAAGTTCAAAGATTCATAAATATAAAAAAATAAGATTTGCTTCGCACTGTAGTTGAGTCTTTAAATTCTACTAGATGAATGCTAAAGTTTAAATCTGCTTTTTCGAGAATATTAAGTGTAATAATTCTAATTAAATTTGCTAATTTAAAAAGTTAATTAATTAATATTTAATTAATATTTCTGGTAAAAACAGTTTTATTCGTTATTAACTTTCTCCAGAATTATTGTTATTTCCATTAAACAATATGATATTTTAATTTATGCAGTAAACTGTGTGGTTGGAAATTTATAAAACGAAATTAATGAAATTACAATTTAACAGAAAAGGTTTTTTTTCAAATAAATTAAAGCCAATGTTACAAATAACATAATATTGAAAGTTTGTATAATTCGAGGTTTAAAAATAATTAAAATTTTAAACGGGTGTAATAATTCAACTTGGAAATCGATTTAACAATTACAAATAGTCATTAGATTTGTTGGCTTAATTTTTTTGGTTTAAAACTTAAAACCAATTTAATTAAACAAAAAATTTTTAAAAAGGGTTATTTGGACAAAAAATAAATTAATAAAAAGTTTCCTTGAAACAGGTCAAAATTTTGTCTTTTGCGGTTGGATTTGTTGATTAGGTTCTTTTTATTTATTCATTGTTGAACATAACATTTAACCGCATGGAAGCATAGACACACGTTTCTTATATATTTTAGGATATCATGAGTAATTGATTTAATCGAAAAGCATTTTTTTTATATTAGTTAAAAATAAATATTTTATGCTTAGTGGATAACTCCTGCAGAGACCCAAACATAAATCTCTATTTGCCTGAGAAGCTAAAAGGGTTATTCCTTGTAATACTTACACATTACGTCTAATCTAACTTCTATGCTGCTCGACTTGGTTGAGTATGATTCATGCACCGCAACACATCTGAGAGTTTTTCCGTGATTTTCTTTGGAGATGGTGAGTTCAAGTACCGATAGTGCCAACCATGTCCTAGGGTTATCCAGCTCCGTGGTGTTGGTCTGTTGCTTCGTCGGCGTAATTTCATGCTGATCTGTAAATAAACACTTGCGTTCATGAACGAGCTCAGACCCCAGCCCATTTGTTTGCAAATTGGTTCGGCTAATTATTTGAAACCGACTTCTTGGCACAATATCTAATCAAGATCGGCTTGCCGGAAAACACAAACGATCAGTGTAACAATAAAAACTATTAACCTTTACTCTTTATAATTTAAGACTTACCCAAAAACCACTTAAGTACAGGTGGTGGGTTTCCGTAGTGCGATACGCATTTAATGACGGCCACTTCACCGTGGAGAGCGGTCAAGTTGTGACCGGGGAGGACTTGCGTGCCATTGTATTCTATTCGGGGCCGTTGTGGCGGAACTGCAACAAAACGTTAACGTTATAGGCTCCTTATTTATCTTAATATCCGGCAGGAAGTTATTTCAAGTTACTGATATGATATGTAATATCATATCATAGCATTGTGTGTGGTTTATCATCACCTTTTTTTAATTAGGAGTACATACACGTGTATAGTAAAGTACATTATCCAAATCGAATTCTTCGGTTGCATTTGTAGAGATACAAAGTTGCAGTAAGTGCATTTTATTTGTTTCTCATAAAATTATACGAGCTTTGTTGTTCTAATGCCGCTGATGCATTTTCATGGCTTACAAGTCACAATAGATCACTCAAACGTGTACCGCACCAAAATGCATGCACTGACTGATTTTATTAAAGGTATTATGGTTTTTGTGTTAATTTACAAATCAAGAATGTTTTACCTGTTTATAGAAAATTGTCGAAAACTTAAAAACACAATTACAAAGAATTTTTCGTCGTTATCCACTTTGCTTTTATAAATTGTGTAAATCATTAAAAATAAATTTATATTTGTAAAAAAAGCTGTCGTTGGTAATTTCAAAAAAATTTCTATACACCATGAATACATTGTTTTTGTTAATTAATGTACTACAATTCTCTAAAATTAAATAAAGGTTTTTTGCCAATTGGCCATCTCAATCTCTTTTCTTTAAAGAATAATATGAGTAAACCAGAAGTCAGTCAAAATAGATCAAACATATTTAGCAACACTCGGATTTAATAAAGAAAACCCTAACCGATCAAACAGGGACACTTATATTCATGTCAAATGGTCTTTCATGACGACCCTTTGACAAACAGAGAAAAGATACATTTAAGTGATTACAAAGGACAAAAATAAGTTAAACAGATCTAAAGTGAGAGACCAATTTTTTTAATCCAAATAAAAATAGGTTTAAACTTTTTAACGTTACTAGTAGATAATAATCCTAAATTCATGTCGAAACTGTATTGTTTTCTGCAAGTAAGGTTTTAAGGCGATTAATGTTAAGCGAAAGACATTCGAACAGAATGTGTTTCAGTGTTTCCAACGAACCACATGAAAAGTTGAGACTTCCTAGAACAACGATTTTATTCTTGTAAACTGGATATAAAGCATGATTGATTGTTAAAATTTTTCAAAAAATCGATATCAAAAATTATTAAAAGTCTATGCACTAAAGGTAAGCCTTATCAGTAAAAACATTAAAAAATTTTTTTTTGATTTTTCTTATCAACCCTCGTGCTCTATCTAATAATAATCTGACTTCTCGGAGTAATCACATACATATTTTCCAGTCTCCTTGCAATATACTATTTTGCTACAAAAACCAGTTTTATTTAAAATTGAAGAAAAAAAAAAGGTAATTAGAGGCAGTTAAGTTATGTTCTATATTTGAGGTTATATTAATTCTGAATACTTTTGTTTTTTTGAAAATATATTTTTATCCAATTTTTTATCATTTTTTATTGTAAAAAAGCTATTTACGACTTGCGTAACACATTTATCACGTAAAAATAGGGTGAAAAGATTATTTAATTGCTTTGTGAAGCCAAGTCGTTTAACCCCCAATTTTTTATAGACTGTGTAATGACCAATTTCCCTTGTTTTCTTGAAATGGTAAAAAAAGAAACGTCAAAAAAACAATGAGAGGGTCGAAAGCTCGTACATCGTCTATGACTTTCCCCTCAGACCACTTGATCCATTAGACCAAGTCTATTCGCATCACGCCCCTGTTTTTGCACTCACTGCCATTATCCTTTTTAATTCGCTTAATTAGCCTATGTGGCATCTTACGTCTTACTTTTTCACCGTCATCTTTCTTTAATTAATATTTTTTTAAGAAACACTAAAAACAAAACTTAAAAATGTTGCTTTATTAGAAAGTTAAATAGAATTTCATGTTTAGGATTGGTAGAATAATTAGTCTCTTTGGATTGTGTTTTAATTAAGGTCAAAGGGCTGCAAGTAGGGTGGCTGCAAGTGGGGTTAAAGCTTGATTGCAAAATCAATTGAAAATTGAGTTTTATCGTCTGCTTTGACTTATCCTCAGCTTTTTCCTTCCTGAATCGTAATGTACGAATTTTTCGTCAAATTAAAAACATGTAGCGGATTTATATTTAGTTTGATGATTTATACGAAATTGTCAAAAGTGTCCTAAAAATTCGCAATTTCGCATAAAAAAACTTCATTATTTAATTATATTCTAATGTAGTTTTTTGGCTGAATAAGAATTATTGTAAGCCAATATTTTTGTCTTTTTTCATCGGAAAGAATTCCATTAGAAGAACAGAGACAAAACCGTTAAGCTTTGAATGAAAGAGCATTAATATTAAATTTTATGCAAGCTTTAATAACTTTTCGACCTTTTAATATTAGGGTAAGAATTTTGCGTGTTTCAGAAATGTTCTTAAATAATCTCTACAAGTTAATTAATTATAAAACCAGAACGTAAATTAAGTAATCTGTAATAAATTGAAAATTAAAAAAGGATCTGGTGAGCATTGAGGAATGAAATATAAGCATATTATCTGTAGCTTATATAACCATCTTTTCGTCTGTGACACAAAAGTAAGGAGTAATGTGTCAAGCAAATTCTATTTTGATTAAAAGATTGTAGGAATATGAAAGTAGTAAAAATATGCATACCACAAGATAACGTTTTTTATCCCATTTTTGTACAGTGATAAATAATCGGTTGACCGTTACTTTAGATGACCCTATTCGAGTCAAATAACTTCTTATCGAAATAAGTTTTGATACTAGCTAATAGTTATATCAACTATGCACTTGACTTGAAATACGGAAATTGAGAAAGTTCATACATTGCACGGCAAAATGAAGTTTCATGTTGTATATTGCCATCAGTGAGAATATTGATGCAATAATCAAAATGCATTATACATTTTCCACTTTGAAAAATGTTTACATAGTTTATTAATTAATAACAGATCTGAAAAATACTAGTTTTACTTCATACATATAGTGTTGTATGTTTGTTTAAATGTTTCAAACGAACTTTTATCTAAAAATAAAATATTATTTTAGAGTTTAGATCACGTGTAAATGATTTAAAATTAAACTGTTTTGTGTTACAAAAGGATTGCTTTACTTGATCATTTATTTTCAGACAAGCAGTTTTTACAAACATGCAAAACCATGCGTATCGTAAACGATATGTTTAATGCTTAATTATTCTCTAAATCACAAATCCATTAATGAAACAAAGCAAAATAGTATTTTATTTTTATCTCTAAAATACAGGCTGTTTTAAAACTCGCGCTCCAGAGAAAAATGCCAAGTAAGTGAAAATACCAGGAACATGGAAAAAATGTTAAAAAAATCCTATCTATAAAAATTTCGAAATTACGAGGATTTTTTATTGTGACCCTCTTTATTTTTTTTTGAAAAAATAATTTTACGTGTTTTTTTGTTGCAGGATCTTAGTAGAGAGAACAAAAAAGTTGTATCCTGAATTGTAACTATATTTAACGTTATTTGTGTTTTATATTGCCACTTTTAACTTTACTGAATAATTATAAAAAACATTTACAAGAAACATTAAATAGACATAAAAAACACAATGTAGAAAAATATGTGTTAAAATTTTTTTAACTTTTTTTTCATGTTCCTAGTGTCTTATCTGTTTTGGCATTTTTCTCTGGAGCGAAGTTATAGAAAACCCTGTATAAAAATGCTATAATAATAAAATAGGTTGATGCTGTCAATGTAAAAACACTAAAAAAACAAAGAAAAAAAATATACAATTTTTTTTATAACAATATTCAAAGACAGCTTGGTGCTGTTAACGTAAAACAATCTTTGAGAAAAACAAAGAGAAAGCAGACTTCGGTTAATAGCTCGCAGGTATGATAACATGTGACAAGCTTCGTTCGTAGATACAACTCCCAATCACGTGAAAATATTGGATAAATAAGCGTAAAGTGTATAAGAATCGACATGTTTCACCGTGAAAATGGCGTAACGTAAAAGCTTTCAGCAACATATTATTTCAGGATAAAACTCAGAAATTTTATTCGATTTGTGACCGGAAATGAAGTAAAATATATTCAAAACGACAAAGTATTTTAATAAGTGTAAATCAAAAAAAGCATTTAGTGCACAATAAAACCTCAGTCGAGGTTAGTGATCTTAGTCGTGAAAGGTTTAAAAATTGTCGACATGAATATTAATGTGGTAGTTCTTGAACGCTTGCATTTCCTGCTAGTCACACCTGATACCTCAGAGTTCCTAAATTCAGCATATTTCATGAATATATTTGAGAGCATTAAAAAGATGTCATCCCTGCATATACGCAAGGGAATAAATTTCCTCGTCTCCGAAGTTATTTTTTGAATGAAGCTGAGAAGTTCGTAAGTCAACATTGTTATAAAGTTTCTAAAGGCTTGAGGGCCTGAGGCAATGTATTTTGCTGATGCGCTTTGTTGTTATACACATGTGATTTATATTTAGTATCTTTTGTATTAGTTTCGACAAGTTTCTAGTGGACAATGACGGTCGCTCCAAGTAAACAATTCACTATTCCCCAAGTTCTTTAAAACCCATTTTCTTCAAAACTTTTAAGTAGTTTAATAAATTTATGCTGATTATTTTGCACGACTTATACTTTTGATCGCCTCCAAGATCGCTTTCAGACGTTTTCTTAACTCCGCTTAATTAAATTTTTGAACACAATTTCAATGAAAATGACTTAGCACCACCCCAGGCGGTATAACAAGCCTAATTTTATTCAAATCTTTTAATCCCAAAATCTCCAAAATTTATAAATAAGTATTTTTATTGATACTGAATAATACAAATACCAATTAGGTAAGTTATAAATTTCTGCGCGATTCAATTCATGTAAGTGAATGCTTATTAAAACTTTAAAGCAAAGTGTTCTAAATGATGAACGCTAAAATGCTATAGACGATATAACTTTATGTTTCTTTCGTGCAAATAGGTTCTAGTTGCATTTCACAACTAGAATAAGTGTAGAAAAAGCCGATGAGAACTG